CTTGTGGACATGTTCTGTGACGATTTTGGGATGCGCCCAAATGTGTCGAAATGTGAACGCCTCGTTTTTGCGAGTGACAGCAACATTAGAAGTGCTGTCCAAGCATCGTGTGATGAGCTCAGGCTGGCTGGAGAGGCCATACCGGCTAAGGATAGTGCGCGATATCTGGGGTTAGTGTATGGGCCGGAACGGCAGTTCTGGGCCTGCCGCCAGCAGTTGTATGACACAGCTAGAGCAGCTATGTTCGCGTTGAGTGCAAAATTAGATAAGCTGAAGTTGTTCGCCCCAGATGTGAGGATGAGGTGTTTCGATACCCAGGTACGAGCAATACTGTTGTATGGTTGCCAAGTGTGGGGGCCGTTTATGCTAGCTGAGGTCTTGGACAGGCTCAGGAAGCGGAGTGATGCGAATAACCTTGCAGAGGGGCCCTTCGAGGCGTGCCTAAAGGACAGGGCAGTGCAGCTTCAGATATCTTTCATGCGGCAAATTGTAGGAGCTGCCAGACCAACACACCGCCTCTTGTTCGCAGAGCTATCGCAGCTACCCCTACACTACCACGTTCTCAAGCAGGTTGTGAGGTTTTGGAACCATGTCCGTTTACAGCGTGGGTCTGTGGCATACCAAGTTTTGCGACAGGAGGTCGCAGAATCCCTCTCCAACCCCGAAGGGCCCGGATGGGGGACACTACTCCTCCGTTTTCTATGTTTTTTGNGGCACGATGTATGGAAAGAGGCCCCGCAAGGGCTACACGAGGTAGACGAACGAGTGGAGTGGCTGATGAACAAGCCAATGCCAGAAGGTGTGATTTCGGAGTTCAAGGACCGATTAGTGAGTGGTTGGAAGCATACACGTTTAGATGTCCAGCCTGACGTGTATCCGTCAGACGGCAAACAACCAGGAATTCACATGGCGAAGTATAAGCATTGGATGGGGCTGGCGGCCGAGCAAGCGGGCAGGAAGGAGGTGCTCCCGCACATCACAATGTTTATCCCACGTTCGGCGAATTGCAAGCTTATGCAGTTTAGGCTTTGCTGTTGGGCACTGGCGGCTAACAGAGCGCGTAAGGGACGGCGTTATATACCTAGGGAGGAGCGAGTATGCCCCTGCTGCGGCACTGATAGCCACATCGAGGATGAGAAACACATTTTGCTGGACTGTCCGGTTTACGACGGAATCAGATCTGATATGGGCTTTCCACGCTTCGAACATATGAAGGACGCTATGAAGTGGGAACCTGAACGCCTGGCAAGAATGCTGGAACGTATATGGTCTCACCGCAACTCTATCGTTCCCTTTGGTCGTTAGTATACTTCATTACTTGTTTCGTTGGAAGTGCGAGGTAGGATGGTGCTTATAGGCGATTTGGCAGCCCTTGAGCCCTCGGCTCGTACTAGGGTGGTTTGCAGGTACGGGGAACGCACCCACGACCATGTAACAACAACAACAACAACAACACACACAAAACAAACGGTGCATGCGAAGAAAAAGGCTTCGATGACGAGGTGTCGCATATCCTGAACGTCCCGAAGCGGTTCTGTCCTGTCCTTGGACAGAATACTCACGCAGAAACGGGGAGGGACTCTCTAAAGCATCGGGACAGCTGCTCAACTCATAGACACCTGGTTCGCCAGCACTGATGCTCAGGTTTGCAGCGCACATGGAAGTCACAACGGTCATGGTGGTGTTGAAAAACACCGAGATTTTTTATAGGTTCGGAGGTAGAGCAGAGGGAGGATCCGATTAGGCCGACGTGAACTTGGTGACAGCCTTGGTGCCCTCGGACACGGCGTGCTTGGCCAGCTCGCCCGGAAGAACCAGGCGCACAGCAGTCTGAATTTCGCGCGACGTCACGGTGGGCTTCTTGTTGTAGCGGCTCAGCTTGGAGGCCTCGGTGGCAACCTTCTCAAAGATGTCGTTGATGAAGCTGTTCATAATCGACATGGCCTTCGAGCTGATGCCGGTATCGGGGTGCACCTGCTTCAACACCTTGTAAATGTAAAGCTTGTAGGTCTCGCTCTTGGCGACCTTGGCCTTCTTCTTCTTCTTGTCCCCCTCAGCGGCATCGCCGGCAGCGGGCTCCTTGGCGGACTTCTTAGCCGGCGCCTTCTTCTCCTTCTTCTTGGGAGCCTTCTCAGCCTTGGGCTTAGCCTCGGCCTTGGGCTCGACAGCCTCCGATGCGGGCTTCTCCTCCTTGGTCTTTGGGGCCATTTGTAATGATCAGACTTTTAGAAATCAGAAACTGTGAGGTGAATGATATTGTGTGATACCATAGTATAGTAGTCTGGAGCATTAAATGTTAGGGTCAGCAGGAGCCCGGTGATCCGACCCGTCGTTAGCGGTTGGCCCAGTGAGCTGCTCGGACTAACGGTAGCTCGGCCATTGCCGTAAAGCTTCTTCCTTCTAAAATGTTTGCTCCAGCAGTATAAACAATAATAACTATTTGCTGCTAACCTGTTACCTCTCAATCTTTCTTCGTACTTCGCTTACAAGGAAACTTACTGTTACAATGGCTGGTCGTGGCAAGGGCAAGACCGCTGGCAAGAAGGCCGTCAGCCGCAGCTCCAAGGCTGGTCTGCAGTTCCCTGTGGGCCGCATTGCTCGTTACTTGAAGAAGGGCAAGTATGCCGAGCGCATCGGTGCTGGCGCCCCCGTCTACCTGGCCGCTGTGCTGGAGTACCTGACTGCTGAGGTTCTGGAGCTGGCTGGCAACGCGGCCCGCGACAACAAGAAGAACCGCATCGTCCCGCGCCACATCCAGCTCGCCATCCGCAACGACGAGGAGCTGGGCAAGCTGCTGGGCGACGTGACCATTGCGTCCGGCGGTGTGCTGCCCAACATTCACGCCGTTCTGCTGCCCAAGAAGTCCAAGGGCGGCAAGGGCGAGGAGGCTGCCTAAAGCTGAAGCGACCAAGGGTTGCGGAGTATTCTCCGACTGGACACGGCAACAAAACATCCGGTGTTTCTCAACACCACCAATTTACAACTTGGTCCCATCTCCCAAACATTATGGTTTAGATATACAGCTCTTCGTAGTGGTTATTATAAGCCTCCACATTCCACGGAAAGGGTTTTTCCCTGTCATGCATCCGAATATTTGCTTAATGGAGTACATTTACATGAAAATCCAGCCTTAGTCGCGAAATTATCTAGTCGTCCTATAATCTGAAATCGGCGCTTCAGCAACTCCTCGTCACTCTCATCTCGCCTATTGCTTTAGAACAAATCCGCAATACTCTCGAGATACTAGATTATAACTGAGGGCTTTGATCATTCCATAGAAGGTTCACAGGCGCCGATGGCGAGCGATCATCTAAGTCGGTTTTTTCTGTTGACCGCTGACGAAAGATACTCTCAAGTCGGACCGCCTCCCAGCGACCCAAATGGACCCCAGCTCCAAAACCACCGCCACATGTTGCGCACACCGCAAACTCACTGTCATTCCCGTTCGATGGAGTTTGCATCTATATACTCCATATCCTGGCCTTCCTAACCTCCACATCCATTCCTTTCATTCCTCGTTTAGCACATCGTAAGCTAATGCGGTTTCGTTTATGTTTCTGGGCTCTGGAGGCAAACAGAGCACGAAAGGGCAAGTACCATGTCCCCAGGGGGCAGCGGTTTTGCCGCTGTTGTGGTACTAATAGCCCTAAGGTTACGATGGTCATCAAGACGAATGGCAAGGCTGGAGGTGAATTTGAGTCAAAACAGGGTGTGAAACAAGGCTGCCCACTATCTACTGAGCTGTTTGGGCTCTACATTGAGACCCTCGCGGACGTCATCGATATGCACGACGGTATTACTACCGGGGCACGGCCAGAGGATGCACCGGAGGTTGGAAATGAGCGAGTGTCCATCCTTCTCTATGCCGACGACGTTAGCCTTCTGGCAACAACACCAGGACGCATGGGGGAGTTGCTCAACATTGTGGACATGTTCTGTGACGATTTTGGGATGCGCCCAAATGTGTCGAAATGTGAACGCCTCGTTTTTGCGAGTGACAGCGACACTAGAAGTGCTGTCCAAGCATCGTGTGATGAGCTCAGGCTGGCTGGGGAGGCCATACCGGCTAAGGATAGTGCACGATATCTGGGGTTAGTGTATGGGCCGGAACGGCAGTTCTGGGCCTGCCGCCAGCAGTTGTATGACACAGCTAGAGCAGCTATGTTCGCGTTGAGTGCAAAATTAGATAAGCTAAAGTTGTTCGCCCCAGATGTGAGGATGAGGTGTTTCGATACGCAGGTACGAGCAATACTGTTGTATGGTTGTCAAGCGTGGGGGCCGTTTATGCTAGCTGAGGTCTCGGACAGGCTTAGGAAGCGGAGTGATGCGAATAACCTTGCAGAGGGGCCCTTTGAGGCGTGCCTAAAGGACAGGGCAGTGCAGCTTCAGATATCTTTCATGCGGCAAATTGTAGGAGCTGCCAGACCAACACACCGCCTCTTGTTCGCAGAGCTATCGCAGCTACCCCTACACTACCACGTTCTCAAGCAGGTTGTGAGGTTTTGGAACCATGTCCGTTTACAGCGTGGGTCTGTGGCATACCAAGTTTTGCGACAGGAGGTCGCAGAATCCCTCTCCAACCCCGAAGGGCCCGGATGGGGGACACTACTCCTCCGTTTTCTATGTTTTTTTGGGGCACGATGTATGGAAAGAGGCCCCGCAAGGGCTACACGAGGTAGACGAACGAGTGGAGTGGCTGATGAACAAACCAATGCCAGAAGGTGTGATTTTGGAGTTCAAGGACCGATTAATGAGTGGTTGGAAGCATACGCGTTTAGATGTCCAACCTGACGTGTATCCGTCAGACGGCAAGCAACCAGGAATTCACATGGCGAAGTATAAGCATTGGATGGGGCTGGCGGCCGAGCAAGCGGGCAGGAAGGAGGTGCTCCCGCACATCACAATGTTTATCCCACGTTCGGCGAATCGCAAGCTTATGCAGTTTAGGCTTTGCTGTTGGGCACTGGCGGCTAACAGAACGCGTAAGGGACGGCGTTATATACCTAGGGAGGAGCGAGTATGCCCTTGCTGCGGCACTGGTAGCCACATCGAGGATGAAAAGCACATTTTGCTGGACTGCCCGGTTTACGACGGAATCAGATCTGATATGGGCTTTCCACGCTTCGAACATATGAAGGACGCTATGAAGTGGGAACCTGAACGCCTGGCAAGGATGCTGGAACGTATATGGTCTCACCGCAACTCTATCGTTCCCTTTGGTCGTTAGTATACTTCATCACTTGTTTCGCTGGAAGTGCGAGGTAGGATGGTGCTTATAGGCGATTTGGCAGCCCTTGAGCCCTCGGCTCGTACTAGGGTGGTTTGCAGGTACGGGGAACGCACCCACGACCATGTAACAACAACAACAACAACAACAACAACTAATAGCCGAATCGAGGATGAAAAACACGTGTTATGGGAATGCCCAGCCTATAATGATATTCGTGCTGAAGAGGGATTCGATCATCAACAGAGCATGTTGGAGGCCATGCAATGGGAACCCGCACGTCTGGCGAGGATGTTGGAACGTATGTGGGCTCACCGAAACTCAATTACCCCCTTTGGACGCTGAAGGCGTTGAAGTATTGCCCTTGGGCCTTCGGCTCGTATGGGTAGTTTTACAGGTATCGGGTCACGCACACCCAACCATGTAACACACACACACACACATCCATTCTCACGTGGGCGGCATCGTCGCACCGTATCTCACTGCATCCCCTCCCTAGACGATTTTCACTAAGAGCTCCTAGGTGTGTGTGTTTTACCTCGCACTTCAGGCAAAGCTAGTAATAAAGGATACTAACGACCAAAGGGAACGATAGAGTTGCGGTTGGACCACATGCCAGACGTTCAGGTTCCCACTTCATGTGCTCGAAGCGTGGGAAATCCATATATTTCTGATTACACCGTACACCGGACAGTCCAGCAAGACGTGCTTCTCATCTTCGATATGGCTACCAGTACCGCAGCAGGGGCATACCCGCTCCCCCTTAGGTACATAACGCCGTCCCTTGCGCTCTTTTGGCCGCCAACGCCCAGGGGTGCGATCGAGGTGACTATAACCCTTCACTTCACACCATACTGTTTAAGGTAGAAGTGGCACGGGCCGCTCCGACAAGCGTTAAGGATGACATCTTGAACAAAGAAAATGCAATGCTTAGGCAAAGCTTAGGCAAGCGGCCAGCCTGGCCCATTATACATATTGCATGGTCATAGGTGAGTAAGGGATTTGTAAACCCACAAACTACGTCTGCTTTATTTAGAGGGGTAGTGATTCTCGACATGGGATGTCTGGAAACTCAGCACGCTGCATCTGTATCAAGCCTTCGTTGAAGCTTCATGGCTGAATTACCACAGATCGTCAAGCTGGGGTGAAGTAGAAGCAAAGCATAACATGGTTTTTCCAACAGAAATTGGCCAAGAATGATACCATTGCCGCATGCACCAAGCTGAGCGCCCTACCTCATCTGAGATTTACTAGATTGTTGCCACAGGTCAATTAATCTAGGCCGTCAAACAATATCTGGTAAACAGACGCCGTACACGGTACGGCGGTGTATGGTTCTGCGTTTCGCGCCGTCTCGTCCTATCAGATTGTCTGAATTGGAAGTCGAAGGAGCCTACGGTGACATGTCTTCCGCCCGAGAACCCTTGGAAGCTGCTTGAGCTTCGCCGGAAACTCATTAACGCCTGCCAACCAAACCTCTTACAGGAGGTAGAATGCACGTAAACGGCTTACACCGTTTCCTTTTTATCTAGTGTGGTGTATTGAACCTTAAGTCTTGCTTTTCTAACGACAGCTTTCGGACGAGATGGCTAGTGGAGCAAGGGAGCCGTGGCAGCAAGCCTCCGTTACGCTGCATTTTTCTGTATCGTATCCTACGCAATGGGGTCAGTCCATTCTGTTATCGGGATCGGGGGCGCTGCTTGGTAGCCTACAGTGGTCCCAAGCTCGTCAGATGTCGTGCCATCACGAAAAAGACGTGTTGGTGTGGGAGGCGACTATCCTACTGCCGTGGAAACCGTATTATACCTACAAGTACGCCTTGGTGAGGCTCTCAGGCCGGCCCTTCTTGTTTCGCTGCTTTAGAGTGCGCTTTTTCAACGCCCCTAACGGTGGACTAACCCGCGGCGCAGGCGCGTCAAAAGGACGATGAGGTAGCACCAGGGGCTAACGTTCACGGAAACTGGGTAATCGAGAAGGAGGATGCGGCCGGCGAGCGCACCGTCTGGCTTCCAGAGGGCTTGCAGGTAATTATCGCTACATTGAACCGCTGGCTCGGTGCTGTTAGCAGCTGACGGCATGGAAACGGATCCTAACTAGAAGGCCACGCCTTAACTTTTCGTTGCTGTCCTTTTCCCTTCCTTTTTCTTCGCTGTTGCGAACATCAACGAAAAATGGACCATCAATCAGACATCACCGCAGTAACCTTGTCCGTCGCAGGGGACCGAGGTACCGATCTTCGGTATCCATTCCTTCCTTATCGACCTTGTCCTTAAAATAAATGGAAGACCGGCTCTGCCGCATGACTATACCAAGATTGCGGCTCCTACCCCTGTATTGGCAATGTAACATCAAATGATGTGCCCCCTTTCCCGCTCCCCACCTTTTCAACCTTTCCCCGCTCCTCTCCTACCCAACCATATGCTCCAGGGTGGGGACCTGGTGGAGGTTTGCGATACCTGGGTGGATAAGGCCCATCCAGCAGCCCTCATGGCGAGTGCCGCATTTACAAAGGTAAGGATGGGGATTTGGGGCTGGTGGGGGTTTTGTAGAATGGGGGGTTAGTACATACACACACACAGTCCGCGGTTTCTAGCGGCGCCTAGGTCTCCCCTGGTCACTCCTCCCCTCTTCCCCCCCTCGAAACCCGCCCCCCCAAGGTTTTGTTCGCTCATAAGCCCCAGATCCGTAACGGCCACATGACCTCCCTGGCCTTGGTCGCTCCCGCACCGGGCGAGACGGTTTTGCGGTTGGCGGTTGCGGATTTTCAGTTGGACGCGGCGGAGGTTCTGTTGGTGACGGGTGGAATTTCCCAATTAGGCAACTGGCAACCGGACCAGATGCTGAGGCTGACGGGTACGACAGAGACGTGTATGCGTGTGTTGGGGGAGGGAGAATGGGGGAGGGGAAAGAATGGGGCCCGGGATCCAGAACCTGAATGGCGGTACTGCAACCGCCATGTACTGCAACCGCCTTTCTTGTTCGCTCCCCCACACACACCACCCCAATCCTACCCCCGCAACACTCAACCGGCTGACCACAAGTGCTTACCTGGCCTGTCTGTTAGCCACTGCCGTACATTGCCGTATTCCCGATTGCAAGATGATGATCTTTACTAAGCAAGTGCATGCCGTATTCCCGCAAACTCCACCCGCCCCACTCATGTCCCGTTTGGGACAGCAAACACCCCTAAGCCGCCTAACCTTGGCTTGCCTAAACTGACACACATCCGTCTTCATTGTACGGCACGCAGAAACACACACGCCCTTCTGGGAGGCGGAGCTCCGGGTGCCGTACAGCTGCTTCCCCTTCACGTACAAGTACGCCATTCAGACGGCGGACGGCCTTGTGCTGGAGGTATGTCTGTCTGTCTGTATGCATGCATGTGAGGTAGGGGTTATAGCTTCACCCGCGTGTTCACTCGCGTTTTGCATACATCTAATTATTCACCCTTGCCACCACAACGGATCACTGTCGTACCGCCTGTCGTATCTATAACCCTTAGATCCATTCCAACGGTCCCGCCCTGCTTATGGGGTTTTTGCGCACAAGTCTGCTGTGTGTTCGTGTCACGTTCGATTCGTGTCTGTGTTTTCGCCCGTGATTCCCCCCCCCCGCCTCCTCTCCACCGAGGTGGGTGAGCCCCGACTGGCCAGTCTGCCCTCCTCAGCTTCCGTGGGGGCGCCCACCGTCATGGTACGACACGACGGTTATTTCAGGTAGGGGTTTCGGAGCGACGAATATTGGAATATGGCGGGAAAGTCCGTGTTCATATGTATGCGTATGCGTCTGTCTGTCAGTAAGGGTTTTTTCTGTCTGCCTGCCTATTTGTATCTGTTTGCGTCTCCACATCTTTATCCCAACTTTACTATTTTACTGTCTGGCTCAAACAGCCCGCTTACATCATTGCTCCAACGCATTCCAATTATTCAAAACATTTTCAAAAGTCATTTATGCTTTAATTTTGAGAACCTGACTTTTGTAGCAGTGGGTTAGTGAATGTTTTTTTGTTTGCGCGTACATGTCGCTCGGCGGCGCAAAGTACAAGTTGAACGATCCGAAATTTTAAAAAAATCTGATTTTTTTAAAAGAATTTATCAGCATAACAAAATAAATTGAAAATTTCCCAACAAAATGACCTCCCCGGTACACTGTCTCCCCCCCCCTTGCCCCCGGCCCGCCCGCCGCAAACTCCGGACTCTCCAGACGAGACAGGCACTGGCGAGGTGCCGGAGTTGCCGTACCAGTTTTCAGTCTCCGTACAAATGAAAGTGTCGGTGTGGGGGAGTTTTTGGATCTCATACCCCTGGTGGATCTTGCGGATAAGTGAGTGGTAGATTGGGGGGGAGGGGGAGGGGGAGGAGTTGAACGGAGACGTGAGGAGACGCTTAGGGTTTCACACCGCACATACATACATACGTACATACATTCATACATACATACATGCCGCCGTACATCTTCACTGGATCTCATGTTCACAGGGCCCCACCACAACCACCACTGACTCCCCCACTGACCTTCCCCCATCGACCCCCCACCCCAACCCAAGATGCGGGCTGCGCATGATCCAAGTACTGCCGGTGAACGACACGTGTGTGTACGGCACCTGGTGGGATTCGTACCCGTACTCTACACTGTCCGTACACGCGCTGCATCCTCAGTACTTGGCGTTACGAGAGCTGTTGGCGGAGGAGGGGCAACAACTGCCACATGATTTGGCGGCTGAGGTGCGCATGTACGGCACGTACGGCACGTACGGCATGTGAGGTAGTGGCGTTGGAAACTTGTGGCATTGGTGCTTTGGCATTGGTGCGCCAACTGCAAAGCAGTTGGCAGGTTTTTCGGTTTTTTGTTTTTTCTTATGGTATATGATGTGATTTTCCGACCCGACCTTACTCGGCCCGTTCCGATGTGTACGTTCGATTGCCTTTTCCCCCACCTTTTCCCCCCTCCCAACTTTCAGCTTCATAAGGCCCGTCGGGATTTGGACGGGCCCGAGGTTGACTACGAGGCCACTCTCGCCTTCAAGAACGCGTTCGTGAAAAAGGTGTGTACGACTATTTTTATGTATGTGTGTATGTATGTACGTATAGGTGCATATATGTAGGTAGGTAGGTGTATGTATGTAGGTAGGTGAGTGGGTGAACGAGAAAACGTAAAAAAATGAAATAAATAAAATATTATCAACCGACGCAGCGCCCAAAAACTTCATATCGCTGTTTCCCGGACATTTCGGACATTTCCTGATTAAGCTAGCTAGCTAGGTCTCCGCCGCTTCTGCGCGCATTGTACTTGTCCTGGTCTGTTGGTGTGATGTACGGCAGGTGTACGACCGGTACGGCAAGGGAACGCTCCAGTCCTCTGGCTTTCAAACGTGGTTTGCGGCCAATTCGTATTGGTTGCGACCCTACGCGGCATTTTGCTTTTTGAGGGATATTTTCCAGGTGAGTGAGTGCGGTGGGAGTGTGTGTGTGTGTGTATGTATGTGTGTGTGTAAGTGCGTGGAGGGGGGAGGAGGGCGCGGGAGACGTTTTTCCCGTTGGGCGGAGGGGGGAAAGAGGTTGCCTGAGGGCTGGAAAGACAGGCAGGGGGGTATCGGCGGGTTTTGTGTTTAGGGGGTGTTCGGGGGGGCTGCGGGGGGTTCCAGGTACCTGGGGAGGGCGGGGGGGCGAACAGCCTTTCGTTGGTTAAGTCGGTAAAGTTGGTTGGGGGAGTTATATTGTATTCAAAAATGCACAAAGAACCAACCGCCGACGGCCGATGTCACGGACATTTTCAAACTCAAAACCAAACCCCCCTCTCCCTATTTTTTGAATTTCCCTCCTTGTACTGCCCTCCCCACCCCCGCACACACACACACACGCGCTTTGTCGTACGATCCCTAATTCAGACATCGGAGCATTGGCGCTGGGGTTGCATGTCTGCGGGTACGGAAGAGGTGGTTGAGCGGCTCACTCGGCCCGGGGGGGAGTTCTACGGCAGGATTCTGATGACGTACTATGTGCAGTACCATTTGCACAGACAGCTGCTGCGGGTACGGAGCGGGCGAGGCGGGCTGAGTGGGAAGGGGGGGGGGGTAGGAGGGGGCCGCTTATCCTGCACTTTGGTGTGGGTTTTAGGGGTATGTATTAGGGTATGTATTAGGGTATGTATTAGGGTATGTATGTGTGTATACAAGTATACGCGCATGTGTGTTGCATGGTCACGTTTTTCTCCTCACCCTCCCCTCCCCCCTCCCGAGGTCGCCGCCTTCAAGAACGCCTTTCGGTCAGTTCTACGTTTGATACTCTCTTGCCCTGGCAGCAGCAGCTTCACTCGTTCGTGGTTCGTCTTTCCCTCCCCCCTCTCCTCCCACACACACTTTTATCGCATGAAAACCTCCACCCTACCCCCTACCCCTACCCTTATCCCCCCCCCTACCCCCCCCCGGGCACGCACACAGGCATCCGAGTATGCCGCCTCTCGCCGTGTCGTACTTAAGGGCGACCTGCCCATCGGTGTCGATAAGCGCTCTGTGGACTGCTGGACGTTCCCGCGCCTGTTCAGGATGGACAAGAGTACGGGAGCCCCTCCGGACGCGTTCTCGCCCACGGGTACGAGGAGGGGGAATGCGTGTGTGCTTTGTTGAGGTGTGTTTTGGTTTTTTGGACGACGGCAGCGAGGTGGCTGAAAAAGGGGGGAAAGGGTGTTTACCTGTCGTACTAACATCGTACTGACATCGTACTGTCGACTCTTATCCCCTAGCTGTGACAGGTTGGTCTTCCTGCTCTTGTGATAATACTAAAACCGTTAAAACCTTGAAAACCGTACAGATGCTAAAACCTTGAAAAAACCGTCTTCGCAGGTCAGAACTGGGGTTTCCCCACGTACAACTGGGAGGTCATGGCGGCGGACGGGTACGACTGGTGGAGGTCGAGGTTACGACATCTGGCGCAGTACTTTACGGCGTACCGTATAGATCACGTACTGGGTTTTTTTCGGATCTGGGAAGTACCTGGCGACTGCGTGACGGGTGGGTATGGGCAGGGGTTGAGGGGGGGAAATGTGTATGTATGTATGTTGTTACAGGGTGGTTAACTTCACCAGCGGCCCCCTTCCCGAGGCAGTCCCTGCTCTCCCCTGCTAGAGGGGCACCCTAATCCGTCACCCCATCCGACTTCAGAATGCATTCGTTGGGTTCGGCAACTCACCACCAGCATCCAACCAAATCTAGCGGATCAACGGCGCATCAACTTAGTTCCTGGTCAGCTCGCAAGTTGATATAATCACGTCCCACATCGTCCATATGATGGGGGGCCACCTCCCATTTCAACACTCCTCAAACACCCGAGGAGCCGGCAGGCAGATTTGAACCCGGGTCGGCCGGGAGCAGAAGTCAGGCCTTAACCTCTGCCAGCCGCCTGCATGTGTATGTATGCATGTATGTATGACTTCGATTACACCGGGGGCCGAAGCCGAAACACAGCGCAAGGGTCGGGAGCACACAGCACAAGTCGGTTAGTCTTGTGTGCTCCCGACCCCGACTCAGGCTCTGCTAATACACTTCGGCGGTCATACCATTTGGGTACGGTACGGTTAGTGCCCCTGGCCAGCATAAGGCCCGGATCGATATATAACAGACACACACATACGCACATATATACGTACACACGCAGGTCTGCTGGGTTATTTCCGCCCCTCCCGCCCTTTGACGCGTTCCGAGCTCGAGCAACGGGGGGTGTGGGACATTGACCGCCTCACTCGGCCGTACATCACCGAGGCACTTGTACGGCAGTTGTTTGGGGCGGAGAGGGCGGAGGTGGTGTCGGCGACGTATATGTTAGAGGACGGGAAAGGCAAATACAGGTGAATGGGGGGGGGAGGGGGAGGGGTTTGGGGGGGAACTGCCGTGTGTGTTGTGTTTTATGTGTATATGTTAAATGTGCGCGTTTGTGTGTGTGGAGGGGGGGGGAAGAGAGTGTTGAGGGTGAGAAGCTTGGTGCATTACGTACTGGGACGGCAGTGTGAGATGGCAGGCAGATAAGGGGCGTCTGTGTGTGGGGTGTGTGTGTGTGAGGGGATGTCTGTGTGTGTGTGTGTGCGTGTGCGTGTGCGTGTGCTGTTTATCCTAAAACCCTAGGCAATGACACCAAAAAAAGGGGGGATATGCGGTGTTGTGCATATGTTGTGTATGGACACACGTACAACAACTCCCCTCCCTCTCCCCCCTTCAACCCCCCGCTCACCTCCCACCTCACCCCCCACCTCACCCCCCACCTCACCCCCCACCTCACCCCCCACCTCACCCCCCACCATACCCTCCACACCAGCCCCCACGCCACCCCTCGCCAACCCCCCTGCCCAGGCTCCGTCCCGCCTACTCGAGTGAGGCCGCCATTGCCGCCATTCCCTTGCGAGAGGACTCGCCCGACTGGTTGGTTAGGGAGGTGGAGGAGACGCGGGCGGGACTGATCAAACTGAGACAGAATGTCGTACTGCTGCCGGATCCAGAGGATCCAGATGCCTTCCACCCCAGGTACGTCCGGGGGCATTGCTGGGTTTGGGCGTTCCTGTTTGGGTTGGATTCAACTGGCTGGCTTTTGCATACGTGTTTTTTCCATGCAATTGACTTCCTTCTTTTCCCCCTGCTCCAACCCCCGGGTACACACACCCCGCCAGCATCGTACTGAGATGCCGCCCAAAGCTGGACTCATCCTCACACCCTCGCATGTATAAAAACGTACACGTCATTGCATGCATACATTTCAAATACATACATACATACATACATACATACATACATACATACATACATACATACATACATACATACATACATACATACATACATACATACATACATACATACATACATACATACATACATACATACATACATGCATTTTAAGTACATACACGTAAAACTCTTAAACTCTAAAAACGTGAAAACAGGTTCAACCTGATGACCACCAGCAGTTTTGCGGCCCTACCCGCCCCGTGTCGTGCCGTACTACGACACATGCACGACGACTACTACTTCCGGTGGGTGCTGGGGGGGAGTTGTGGGGTAGAGCTGTGTATGTGCTTGCTTCATGGTGCGTCGGTATGTGTCTGTATGTTCTCGTACCTATCGATGTATGTCTGCCTGTCGGGGCCTTCTTAGGTATGTGTGTATGCCTGTGCGTCAGTATGTTTGCGCATCTGGTGGGGGAGGGAAGTCGGGTTTTTGCCCTGGGGTTCGCCATTCGTCCCCTCCCTGAACCCGCGGTCTCCGGCCCTCCGAACACATACACATACACACGTAACATTCATACATACATACACACGCACAGGCGCCAGGAGGATGTGTGGAGATCCAGTGCGCTGTCCAAGCTGCCCGCCCTGCAAGCCGCCAGTGACATGCTCGTGTGCGGGGAGGATCTGGGTTTCGTGCCGGCGTGCGTACCGCCTGTCATGAAGGTGCGTTGGCGGCAGAACAATATTCATGTGTGTGAACGTGTATGTGGGGGTGAAGGGGGGGCGAGGTGGGGGGGGGAAAGATATGGGGGAGTAGATATAGATACTGCCAAATCAAGGAGAGGGTACGACGGGCCAGCAATTTTTAAACCCCTTTTGAAACCCTTGAAGAACTCTGCAAAACCCTAAAAAACCCTAAAACCTACACCACAGGAATTGGGCCTTATCGGTCTCCGTATTCAGCGGATGGCCACGGAGCCGGGCAAGGAGTTCAATAACCCGGGCACGTACACGTACCTGACCGTGGCGTCACCCTCTTGTCATGACGTCACACCGCTGCGGGCCTGGTGGGTTTTATTAAGGGGTTTAGGGTTTTGTTGGGGGTGGGGAGAGGGGGGAAGGGGGAAATTGGGGGGAAATTCGGGGGGAGTGGGGGGGAAGAGGGGGGAAGGTGAGTCGGATGTGTTTTTCCACTGCCCCGTATTTACGTGCTTGCGTGTCAGGTAGTCTGAAAATATGGTTGGTTTATCTGTGCAGCACCATATGCAGCTGGAGGTCCTTTTCAGCATAATTACTAACCGTAGGCTTTTCCGTACTTAGTAAGTGATTACGTAATTTTGATTTGCGGACGTGTGTGCCGTGGTACGGCAACCATGCAGGTACGAATCGGATCCTGATCGCGCGGAGCGCTTCTATTATCACCAACTCGGCGGCTGTGGCCCGCCGCCGCCGGTCTGCACGCCGGATGTCGTACGTGCCGTACTTCAGCAGCACATCAACTGCGGCTCCATGCTGGCCGTGTTTCCTATACAGGATCTAACGGCTTTATCGCTGCAGTACACCACTCGCCCGGCGAGTGCGGAAGTTATCAACGACCCAACCGTCTCGAAGCATTATTGGCGGTTCAGGTACGCGTGTCGGTTTGCACTGCTGCAAAACACACCGTCCCCTTCTCCAATCCCCCCTTACCCTTTCTCCCCCTTTTCCCCACCTTTTTGTGTCATTTCTTCGCATGTTGCATACGTGTTTTTCATTCGTACATGTGTCGTACACCAGAATAATTATTCCGCCATCATAGGGACTCCGTACTGAAGTTATTTCAGAACTACAACACTTTCTATATATAAACCATCCTCCGAAACCAACCTCTAAAGTTAAAAAATCCAAAAATCGAAGTCGGGCACGCTCCGAAACCATTTTTTGAAGCCACGTGCTTTCCTCTCCGAAACCACTTTTTCAGGATCCATGTTACCTTGGAGACGCTCCTGGCAGACAGCGACTGGCTGTCCACAATCGCCGAGATGCTCGTACTGGGGGAGCGGGCGCCGCCGTCAGCACTGCTCGTGGCGGCACCGCCGCCGCCGCCGCCGCCGGTGCTGCCGTACTTTGAGGACGGTCCCGTAGCGGCACTGGCGGCAGCTGGAGTGCCTAACGGTTTGGGGTCGTCAACCGTCGCGGCCGCTGTGGCGGCGGCGACGGCGGCGGCGCAACCGCTTCAACCGCCCAACCACCTTCCGTACCTTGATGCAGACGGGAATCGGTACTAGGATGACCAGGTCCGTTGAGGTAGGTTGGAGAGTACGGGTTGCCGTACTGGGGATATGGGTTTGCCGTACTGCTGCTTGGAGTAGCTTTGTTGTGGGGAGGGGAAAGGGGGAAGAGCGGCGTCGGCGGTGTTGGCGCCTTGTCTCAAGACTACGTGTGCGGCGAGTTTTTTTTTTGTGTTCATGTGTGTGTTTGTGGGGCCGCGTGTGCCCGAACCCCTTTTCCGGGGGTTGGTCAATCAGGCGTTGTGATGACGTACGGCAGCACCGGGTGGCGCAGTACGTGGCTTTGGAGGGAAATTGGACGATGCTACGTGGAGATCGTACACAAGACACGGGAAGTGTACGACACAACGGAATGCAGGGTTGGGATTCCGCTATGGGGAATTCGTTATGCAGGCCAACTCGGCGAAAGCGGATACTTGAAAAGTAGGTGAAAGATTTTTTTTCCGGCTCGACGTCATTCGAACCGCTCGCTTGGGAGTTCGTAGTTAAGAGGTAGGTCGTTGGTCGCGACAACGGTGGATCTCCTTCATTGTTTGCGTTCCTTGAAGGTTTTCTCGGGAAGTTTTGGTTGTGTGTTTGTATGTTTGTATGTTTGGGTGGGTGGGGGAGCGATGACGGGAGGGGGGGAGGAGAGCACTGGGGGGTTGTGGTACGGGGGGGCTTTGTCGGATGCCTCACATCACCGAGCGTGTGTGTATTTCCTGCCGCGTCAAGGCCCCAAGCCGGCGGATGTTCCACCCCGGCATGTTTCTCATTGTGTCATGACTAACGGATGCAGGCCAATATGTACGACAATCATGCTGTAAAGCACGGCAATAGAATGCCGTACGGCTGCGTAATGTCGAGAGCTAGCTTGTGCATGTCTGTGAGGTTCGCAACAAGGGGCGGGGGCGGGATGTGTGTGTGGGGGGGTGGGGGTTTGGGGGTTGGGTGGGTGGGAAGGGAATGGTAATTTCGTATTTGTGGAGTTCCTGTTGATTTGATCTCTGGGGGGAATATTAACGACTTTTCAACGAATAAAGCATTTCTGCATGTTTTAGTTGCTCAGTGATACGCTTCGTTGTTCTGCATTTTCTGTACAATGGTACGGACCGTACGGCAAACGATACGGCTTGTACGAGGGCGTGCCAAAGTATCATAGCCAGGATGCAACAGGGAGAGGGAAGTCACACTTTTAACCCTTTTCCTTATCTTGCCTCAACCATCAATATGCTAATGGGGGTAGGTGCGGAGACATACATATACACATACACACACACACGCGGGGCTGGGTGGGCTATTACCAGGTGCCAGAAAAGGGAGGGTTGGCTGGGGCCGGACACGCAAAACACATACACACATACATCACGCGACGCGCACTCCTCGCTTTGTGTATGTATGTACATTTAACGAAACAGTGAGTTCTTTTGGCGAATATGTTTTTCTCTTTGAATGGCGCATATGAAAATGTTTGTTATGGAATTTTTGGTTTGCCCACCTCTCAGGTGGTGGTGGTGGTGGTGGTGCATATCCCGCCTGTATTATGTCCAATTCTGGGTGGCCCGGCACGGTTGGGACTTCGACATGTACATCAGTATGTTTGTAAATGTTGTTTGTGAGTGATAGCATCATTTCCGCGTTAGCAGTTTGTGTGTGCATGAAAGCGGAAATGTTGGGTGGTGAGGGGGGAAATGAAATGAGCATCGGAAGTTTTGAATAATTAGTTGTCTTTGTTTCAGGACATTGCCGCTGCTGCTCCGATCAGCTCACCGGCGAGCCGCGATCTTCCAACTAATTCTCTCCCGCCCGCGGTTGCCTGTGTCGGAGTCGAAGTTAAATGTTTGTCGGAGTTTAACTTCACTCAAGTTTAGCTGTCACTCAAAAAATAGATAATTATGAAAAAGTTATGCATCATCGATGGTGAGTCGCCTGAAGTAGCAGCAAGGTACGGAAAGGACGGGAAACGCATAAAAAAGGAATGTGGGTTTCGGAACGGTTTGGTATCTTGGAACAAACAATGGGATGTACGGGCTTGGGGTTTGTGTGCTAGAGCTTCCGTACAGCATTAGTAAGGTTTCCTGACCACCACGTGGCGCTATCTGGCGAGGTCGGGGGAGTGAAAAGAGAGCAAAGAGCTCCTCCATGATATTTTAGAGCTCATGTACTGCCAAGTAGGTAAGGTGCATTGCTAAGACGAGATTTTTGAGAACAAAGCTGAAGACTGAGGACGAAAATAAAGCCTGAGGACGAACATACTGTGGTGTAATTTAGGGACCTTACAGCAGATTTCAAATTTGCATTCGATCAGGCCTCGATCAGGTCATCGGGCCTTCCCCAGGTGTGGCCGGTGCCGTCGGTGCCGCCACATAGGGCCTTTCCCAAGCTACAGAACCGTACAGGAGAACCTTATGATAGGACCGTACGGTTTGCTCGACATCTTCAGCGCAGCACGATACCTACCGTTCCTCCTGCCGACCTAAGCGAGAAACGAGAAAGCATATTGGTGAGGTGCGAATGCCTGGGGGAGTGATGGAAATTTGATGAACACCGTGTGCAGCCGTGTGCTTCCGAGAATTCTAGTGTATGGTACCTAAACCATGTCCTGCTGTTCAAGCCGTTTGTGTTGTTCCTTAGTACGGAACCTCAAGCAGTGGGGTTTGTACGCGCTCCTAGTGCGTTATAATTAAAGTGATATCGCGCGAAATGCTGGCAGACGCTTAGACCTACATTAATTTTAACCAACAACTGTCATCGTCACGTCTCTTTGGCTGTATTAGACAACTTGTTACGATCACGAAGAGATTTCGTTCTATTACTTGTAAGATCTCTAAAAAGCGTGAGCAAAGTTGCGCCTTGGCGCTGAGTGCAAAACCTGTTTTTGTTTGCCAACTCTGGGAACTGGCTAAAACGCACAACACTGTAGTGATATTGGATTGCAGAACAGTGGATGAACTATTTCTGAAAGCTGCTGCGTCTGGTGGACTGCGTATGTGAGATGTCATTGGCCGGATACTTCCGGACATGGGGCTGGAGTCTAGGAAGGTACGATTGATCTGTTAATCTATTGTGCGTTGGCACGTTAGGTCGTTGTTTCGATGCGCAGCATGGAACCGTTGGCATGCCCTTTTCCGCACATTTAGACTAGGAAAGGTTGTCTCAGGCCACCAGCTTATGCCGCATGCTGTTGGTTAGGATTTACGTTTTGTACTGAAAGCAAGAAGTGTTTTTTTGACATGCTCCCTTCTTTGCCCGGTCCCCCAACCCCGTGCTTGTACCTGACATTCCCTCCAGCACCATTGGCAACGGCCTGGCAGGAGCGTTTAAGGTTGGGTCTTGCGGAAGTTTGCGGATGGTTGGGACTGGAGTTCACAATTGTTCGAGTGCGGGGGAGGGGTACAGGGAGGAACTAGGCAGTGAAATGGTTTGCTGGGGTCGATTTACGTTCCCAACCTAACAGCACTTCTGCTTTGTCAATCGGAGCGCTGGCATTTTTTGCACTGCTGCCTGCCAGCCCTTCTTTCCATACCCAGTATTTAGAGGTGACATGGGGGGCCCTGCTTTCCCTACCCATTTTCACTTCCTCCCGCCGCCAAAACTGCCAATCCCTAACACCGCAATACTCCATCGTGCAATCAACAGGAGAGTTTGCGGGGTGCGCAACGTGTGGCGGTGGTTTTGGAGCCGGGGCCCCTTGGGAGCCATTTGGGTCGCTGGGAGGCGGTCCGAATGGCTGCGGCGGAAAAGGAGGTGCAGGAGGCGGTTGAGCGATTCTTTCGCCCCCGGTCAACAGAAAAAAATGACAGCGAGGATCCCTCGCCATCGTAAATCTTCCAGCGAACGGTCAAAACCCTCCGTTGTGGTCTAGTATTAACCTGCTTAAGTTCTACAGGGTTTGCTTCAAAGCGGCGAAGGCATCCAGAATCTCGGACCTGAACTTAAGGGGCGATGTGTATGACAGGCCGTTTATGTGCCTATTTCCAGAAATAGCTATGAGGAGGATTTTAGATGAATGCGCAATTAAAGGTTTAGTATTGACTTCGGTAATGAATGTCAACAATTCAGGATTTTTACGTTTGTTAAGCAATTCCCTGTTTCTGTTCTGACATGGTTGGTGTGTCTCAGAAGCTTGTCGGAGCAGTGTTTACAAATTTAATGCATACCATTAAGCTTACGGCCTATGCCCTGTCTGTTTTTCGTTTAACGGGTACAGTGAATGTTTGGGAGATGGGACCAAGTTGTAAATTGGTGGTGTTGAGAAACACCGGATGTTTTGTTGCCGTGTCCAGTCGGAGAATACTCCGCAACCCCTTGGTCGCTTCAGCTTTAGGCAGCCTCCTCGCCCTTGCCGCCCTTGGACTTCTTGGGCAGCAGCACGGCGTGAATGTTGGGAAGCACACCGCCGGACGCAATGGTCACGTCGCCCAGCAGCTTGCCCAACTCCTCGTCGTTGCGGATGGCGAGCTGGATGTGGCGCGGGACGATGCGGTTCTTCTTGTTGTCGCGAGCCGCGTTGCCAGCCAGCTCCAGAACCTCAGCAGTCAGGTACTCCAGCACAGCGGCCAGGTAGACGGGGGCGCCAGCACCGATGCGCTCGGCATACTTGCCCTTCTTCAGGTAACGAGCAATGCGGCCCACAGGGAACTGCAGACCAGCCTTGGAGCTGCGGCTGACGGCCTTCTTGCCAGCGGTCTTGCCCTTGCCACGACCAGCCATTGTAACAGTAAGTTTCCTTGTAAGCGAAGTACGAACAAAGATTGATAAGTTTCAGGTTAGCAGCAGACAGTTAATCTTAATCTTACTGCTCGAGCAAACATTTTAGAAGGAAGAAGTTTTACGGCAATGGCCGAGCTACCGTTAGTCCGAGCAGCTCACTGGGCCAACCGCTAACGACGGGTCGGATCACCGGGCTCGGGCTGACCCTAACATTTAATGCTCCAGACTACTTGGTAATGGAATCACACAATATCATTCATCTCACACTTTCTGATTTCTAATAGTCTGATAATTACAAATGGCCCCAAAGACCAAGGAGGAGAAGCCCGCATCGGAGGCTGTCGAGCCCAAGGCCGAGGCTAAGCCCAAGGCTGAGAAGGCTCCCAAGAAGAAGGAGAAGAAGGCGCCGGCTAAGAAGTCCGCTAAGGAGCCCGCTGCCGGCGATGCCGCTGAGGGGGACAAGAAGAAGAAGAAGGCCAAGGTCGCCAAGAGCGAGACCTACAAGCTTTACATCTACAAGGTGTTGAAGCAGGTGCACCCCGATACCGGCATCAGCTCAAAGGCCATGTCGATTATGAACAGCTTCATCAACGACATCTTTGAGAAGGTTGCCACCGAGGCCTCCAAGCTGAGCCGCTACAACAAGAAGCCCACCGTGACGTCGCGCGAAATCCAGACTGCCGTGCGCCTGGTTCTGCCGGGCGAGCTGGCCAAGCACGCCGTGTCCGAGGGCACCAAGGCTGTCACCAAGTTCACGTCGGCCTAATCGGATCCTCCCTTTGCTCTACCTCCGAACCTATAAAAAAATCTCGGTGTTTTTCAACACCACCATGATCGTTGTGACTTCCATGTGCGCTGCAAACCTGAGCATCAGTGCTGGCGAACCAAGTGTCTATGGGTTGAGCAACTGTTCCGACACAGCCCCCTTCAGAGAGTCCCTCCCCGTTTCTGCGTGAGTATGCTGTCCAAGGGCAGGACAGAACCGCTTTGGGACGTTCAGGGGATGCGACATCTCGTCATCGAATCCTTTTTCTTCGCATGCACCGTGTTTGTTTTGTGTGTGTGTAAAACTGTTCATACAACAAGTAGGCGCAAGGGCAATATCTATACGCACGTGATTGTTTTGTGTTCCGCAGCCACATATGTCTTAACCAATATCCCGGCACTGTCTAGATGTGGCCCTCCTTTCGCCCTCTCTGTGCCTTCTCCCTTCTCCCCTCTCCACTCCTTCCCTTTGCTCTCCACCCAGACTGGCTGAGTGGCTCTTGGGTGTGGAGGAGCACTGCCGGGCAGCTCACGAGTTGGAACTGGCCGGAGCGCAATACACAGCAGCACCAGGAGGCAACCAGCTCCCGTAACAATCTGCCAAGCTGTACCAAGTAGTCACATACCGCCTCCTGCCTCTCTCCAAAGGACAAGACGCAGAGACCGGCCGTTTTGGAGTTGGGTCAGCTGCGCGGTCACCGTATCCCACGACACAGCTGAGACACGTATAGAGTTACCACGGAACGCTGCATTACGGGATTTTGCATCGTTAATCAACAAACATTTGCTGAGTTGTCGATTGCACTGCCGGTTGCTTCCCATCTGATGGGTACTCCTCTGGCAAGACAGTCAGACGCGTATGGTCCCAGCCGCTCATCAAACGCTCTCTTAGTGCCGTTATCATCGCTCCTTCGGGTAGAGGTCTACTCAACAACCAGTCAACACGCTCCTTTACCCCCACGACTTCTTGCGGTATTCCGCTCCAAAGGTCTACTCAACAACCAGTCAACACGCTCCTTGTTGTTGTTGTTGTTACATGGTCGTGGGTGCGTTCCCCGTACCTGCAAACCACCCCAATACGAGCCGAGGGCTCAAGGGCTGCCAAATCGCCTATAAGCACCATCCTACCTCGCACTTCCAACGAAACAAGTGATGAAGGATACTAACGACCAAAGGGAACGATAGAGTTGCGGTGGGACCATATGCGTCCCAGCATCCTTGCCAGGCGTTCAGGTTCCCACTTCATAGCGTCCTTCATATGTTCGAAGCGTGGAAAGCCCATATCAGATCTGATTTCGTCGTAAACCGGACAGTCCAGCAAAATGTGTTTCTCATCCTCGATGTGGCTATCAGTGCCGCGGCAAGGGCATACTCGCTCCTCCCTAGGTATATAACGCAGTCCCTTACGCGCTCTGTTAGCCGCCAGTGCCCAACAGCAAAGCCTAAACTGCATAAGCATGCGATTCGCCGAACGTGGGATAAACATTGTGATGTGCGGGAGCACCTCCTTCCTGCCCGCTTGCTCGGCCGCCAGCCCCATCCAATGCTTATACTTCGCCATGTGGATTCCTGGTTGCTTGCCGTCTGACGGATACACGTCAGGCTGGACATCTAAACGCGTATGCTTCCAACCACTCGTTAATCGGTCCTTGAACTCCAAAATCACACCTTCTGGCATTGGCTTGTTCATCAGCCACTCCACTCGTTCGTCTACCTCATGTAGCCCTTGCGGGGCCTCTTTCCATACGTCGTGCCCCAAAAAACATAGAAAACGGAGGAGTAGTGTCCCCCATCCGGGCCCTTCGGGGTTGGAGAGGGATTCTGCGACCTCCTGTCGCAAAACTTGGTATGCCACAGACCCACGCTGTAAACGGACATGGTTCCAAAACCTCACAACCTGCTTGAGAACGTGGTAGTGTAGGGGTAGCTGCGATAGCTCTGCGAACAAGAGGCGGTGTGTTGGTCTGGCAGCTCCTACAATTTGCCGCATGAAAGATATCTGAAGCTGCACTGCCCTGTCCTTTAGGCACGCCTCAAAGGGCCCCTCTGCAAGGTTATTCGCATCACTCCGCTTCCTAAGCCTGTCCGAGACCTCAGCTAGCATAAACGGCCCCCACGCTTGACAACCATACAACAGTATTGCTCGTACCTGCGTATCGAAACACCTCATCCTCACATCTGGGGCGAACAACTTTAGCTTATCTAATTTTGCACTCAACGCGAACATAGCTGCTCTAGCTGTGTCATACAACTGCTGGCGGCAGGCCCAGAACTGCCGTTCCGGCCCATACACCAACCCCAGATATCGTGCACTATCCTTAGCCGGTATGGCCTCCCCAGCCAGCCTGAGCTCATCACACGATGCTTGGACAGCACTTCTAGTGTCGCTGTCACTCGCAAAAACGAGGCGTTCACATTTCGACACATTTGGGCGCATCCCAAAATCGTCACAGAACACATATCATTATAGGCTGGGCATTCCAATAACACGTGTTTTTCATCCTCAATTCGGCTATTAGGACCACAACAGTGGCAAAACCGCTGCCCCCTGGGAACATGGTACTTGCCCCTTCGTGCTCTGTTCGCCTCCAAAGCCCAGCAACATAAACGAAACTGCATTAGCTTACGATGTGCTAAACGAGGAATGAAAACATTAGCATGTGTTGGCCACATGACGGCTGCGGCTCCCGAAAAGGGCAGCCCCATCCAGTGCTTATACTTCGCCATTTGCACTCCCGGTTGCTTCCCATCTGATGGGTACTCCTCTGGCAAGACAGTCAGACGCGTATGGTCCCAGCCGCTCATCAAACGCTCTCTTAGTGCCGTTATTATCGCTCCTTCTGGTAGAGGTCTACTCAACAACCAGTCTGCACGCTCCTTTACCCCCACGACTTCTTGCGGTATTCCGCTCCAAATGTTGCACTCCAAGAAGGAAAACAATCGTAACGTTGAGATTCCCCAACCCTTCCATTCCGGGTTGGTCAGGGCATCGGTTATCTCCTGCCGTAAAACTGCATGGGCAATGGATCCCACTTGTCTTTGAAGGCGGTTCCAGAAACGGAGAATCTGCTTCACCATGTAATATTGTAAGGGGAGTTCAGCCAGCTCCGCATACAACAGCCTGTGGGATGGCCGTGCCGTCCCCACTACCTGCCTCATGAATAAAATCTGCAGCTGGACTGCGCTATCCTTCAAACGGGCTTCGAACATGCCCTCTGCAAGGTTGGCTTTATCCCGCCGCCTTCCCACCCTGTCCACGACCTCTGCCAGCGCAAAAGGGCCCCACGCCTGGCAGCCATACAACAGAATTGCTCGGACTTGGGTTGCAAAGCACCGCATTCGCACGTCGGGGGCAAACAGCTTCATTTTGTCCAACTTTGCGCTTAAGGAAAACATAGCGGACCGACCTGTATCACATAACTGCTGACGGCACGCACTAAAAGGCCGTTCTGGCCCATACACCAAGCCCAGATAGCGAGCGCTATCTTTGGCAGGTACTACCTGGCCTGATAGCCGTAACTGTTGACATCTCTCGCTAAGTTCCGACTGCTGGGTGCCATCACATGCAAAAACAAGCCTTTCACACTTTGAGACATTTGGTCGCATCCCAGCCACATATGTCTTAACCAATATCCGGGCACAGTCACATGTGGCCAGATGAGCTCAGGCTGGCTGGGGAGGCCATACCGGCTAAGGATAGTGCACGATATCTGGGGTTGGTGTATGGGCCGGAACGGCAGTTCTGGGCCTGCCGCCAGCAGTTGTATGACACAGCTAGAGCAGCTATGTTCGCGTTGAGTGCAAAATTAGATAAGCTAAAGTTGTTCGCCCCAGATGTGAGGATGAGGTGTTTCGATACGCAGGTACGAGCAATACTGTTGTATGGTTGTCAAGCGTGGGGGCCGTTTATGCTAGCTGAGGTCTCGGACAGGCTCAGGAAGCGGAGTGATGCGAATAATCTTGCAGAGGGGCCCTTCGATATCTATATATATATATAGCTTCAGATATCTTTCATGCGGCAAATTGTAGGAGCTGCCAGACCAACACACCGCCTCTTGTTCGCAGAGCTATCGCAGCTACCCCTACACTGCCACGTTCTCAAGCAGGTTGTGAGGTTTTGGAACCATGTCCGTTTACAGCGTGGGTCTGTGGCATACCAAGTTTTGCGACAGGAGGTCGCAGAATCCCTCTCCAACCCCGAAGGGCCCGGATGGGGGACACTACTCCTCCGTTTTCTATGTTTTTTGGGGCACGATGTATGGGAAGAGGCCCCGCAAGGGCTACACGAGGTAGACGAACGAGTGGAGTGGCTGATGAACAAGCCAATGCCAGAAGGTGTGATTTTGGAGTTCAAGGACCGATAAATGAGTGGTTGGAAGCATACGCGTTTAGATGTCCAGCCTGACGTGTATCCGTCAGACGGCAAACAACCAGGAATCCACATGGCGAAGTATAAGCATTGGATGGGGCTGGCGGCCGAGCAAGCGGGCAGGAAGGAGGTGCTCCCGCACATCACAATGTTTATCCCACGTTCGGCGAATCGCAAGCTTATGCAGTTTAGGCTTTGCTGTTGGGCACTGGCGGCTAACAGAGCGCGTAAGGGACGGCGTTATATACCTAGGGAGGAGCGAGTATGCCCTTGCTGCGGCACTGATAGCCACATCGAGGATATATATAGAATAGAAATGATAGCCCACACCACTACAGTTTGAAAGGCGCCGACAGAAGGTGACGCCCAGCTCTGCAAGGAAAAAAAATAGGAATGGACTACATACAACGGGGCTGGCGGCCGAGCAAGCGGGCAGGAAGGAGGTGCTCCCGCACATCACAATGTTTATCCCACGTTCGGCGAATCGCAAGCTTATGCAGTTTAGGCTTTGCTGTTGGGCACTGGCGGCTAACAGAACGCGTAAGGGACGGCGTTATATACCTAGGGAGGAGCGAGTATGCCCTTGCTGCGGCACTGGTAGCCACATCGAGGATGAAAAGCACATTTTGCTGGACTGCCCGGTTTACGACGGAATCAGATCTGATATGGGCTTTCCACGCTTCGAACATATGAAGGACGCTATGAAGTGGGAACCTGAACGCCTGGCAAGGATGCTGGAACGTATATGGTCTCACCGCAACTCTATCGTTCCCTTTGGTCGTTAGTATACTTCATCACTTGTTTCGCTGGAAGTGCGAGGTAGGATGGTGCTTATAGGCGATTTGGCAGCCCTTGAGCCCTCGGCTCGTACTAGGGTGGTTTGCAGGTACGGGGAACGCACCCACGACCATGTAACAACAACAACAACAACATACAACGAGCACGCAATAACCCTGAGGAACTGGCCAACAATGGCCTCATGGTACAGTTAATAGACCAGATAGCCGGGCTGGCGGGAGGCCTGGCAGCCACCAACCAGGAAATCCGCACGATCAAATATGAGCAAGCGGAATTAAAAACGCAAGTAAAGAGCCTGATGAAGAATGGCCGGGGAGTCTACTACGACGCCTTCGGTCTAGTCCACCAAAACGGGCCCTTTTATTTGGATAGCATGCGGATCTTCACGACTGGGAACGTGGATGAGAGCAGGATCAAGAACGTCCTAAGGGAAGCGGACGTTAATATTAAGCGGATCAGGCTCCTGGGGAGCGATCCGAATAAAGACCGCAGATCCTGGTGCGCGTACTTCGATATAACGGAACGGCCATCATCCTTCAGGGCTTCAGGTGAGCCAAGGGCCGCCTTAGCGGCGTTACAGCTGAGGTCCTACGGCATCAGAAATTGGGCATCGACGACAACCTGACACAAGCGGGGAGGGTCGATCCGTTATATCGAAGTACGCGCACCAGGATCTGCGGTCTTTATTCGGATCGCTCCCCAGGAGCCTGATCCGCTTAATATTAACGTCCGCTTCCCTTAGGACGTTCTTGATCCTGCTCTCATCCACGTTCCCAGTCGTGAAGATCCGCATGCTATCCAAATAAAAGAGCCCGTTTTGGTGGACTAGACCGAAGGCGTCGTAGTCGACTCCCCGGCCATTCTTCATCAGGCTCTTTACTTGCGTTTTTAATTCCGCTTGCTCATATTTGATCGTGCGGATTTCCTGGTTGGTGGCTGCCAGGCCTCCCGCCAGCCCGGCTATCTGGTCTATTAACTGTACCATGAGGCCATTGTTGGCCAGTTCCTCAGGGTTATTGCGTGCTCGTTGTATGTAGTCCATTTCTATTTTTTTTTCTTGCAGAGCTGGGCGTCACCTTCTGTCGGCGCCTTTCAAACTGTAGTGGTGTGGGCTATCATTTCTATTTCTATATATATCCTCGATATGGCTATCAGTGGCTATCAGTGCCGAACATATGAAGGACGCTATGAAGTGGGAACCTGAACGCCTGGCAAGGATGCTGGAACGCATATGGTCTCACCGCAACTCTATCGTTCCCTTTGGTCGTTAGTATACTTCATCACTTGTCTAGTTGGAAGTGCGAGGTAGGAAGGTGCTTATAGGCGATTTGGCAGCCGTTGAGCCGACGGCTCGTACTAGGGTGGTTCGCAGGTACGGGGAACACACCCACGACCATGTAACAACAACAACAACAACAGCATCATTAATTGACAGATATTTGCTAGGCAGCTGAGTTGTCGAATGACATCGTATAATTTACTGTTTCTTTTGTATTAGATTGGGAACCAGGCAACTCCGCTGTAACAAATCGCGTGCTTTTATGTTAGATTGGAAATCAGACAACTCCAAACTCCACGGGCAGAATAGACCCATTTCGTTGAGGTGGCCGAATCTTTGGGAGGTTATGGGAGGTTATTCACGTGCCAGCCCAGCACTGCTTAACGGAGCCGAACTCCTCCAGACAAACAACTCAAGGTGGTGTTGAAAAACACCGGATTTGGATTGGAGAGACAGGCTCGTAGAATGCGCGCGGGCGAGTCATGGGGTCAGGCCTTTAAGCGCGCTCGCCGCGGATGCGCCTTGCCAGCTGGATGTCCTTGGGCATGATGGTGACGCGCTTGGCGTGGATAGCGCACAAGTTGGTGTCCTCGAACAGGCCCACCAGGTAGGCCTCGGCAGCCTCCTGCAGCGCCAGCACGGCCTGGCTCTGGAAGCGCAGATCGGTCTTGAAGTCCTGAGCGATCTCGCGCACCAGGCGCTGGAAGGGCAGCTTGCGGATGAGCAACTCAGTGCTCTTCTGGTACTTGCGGATCTCACGCAGAGCGACCTGGAGGCGAAGATACGAAGCAATGGAGGAATTAGCATTTATAACGCTTGAAGGAAGGAATGTGTTAAATCACAGGGTAGAGACAAGAAACAACTGAGAAAATCCTTTCCAAAATAAACACCCCAAAAAATGTTCTCACCGTGCCGGGGCGGTAGCGGTGGGGCTTCTTGACGCCACCGGTGGCGGGGGTCTTGCGGGCTGCCTTGGTGGCCAGCTGCTTACGGGGCGCCTTGCCACCGGTGGACTTGCGAGCAGTCTGCTTAGTGCGGGCCATTTCTTCTGATAAGTAAGGAAAGCTGACAAAAGAAGTAATAAGTCAATAAGGATGGGAAGTTGTGATTAGCTGTGGACCTCGCGGCTGTCTTATTTGGGATTCGCGAAGGCAGTTGTACGGTGGCCGTTGCCCCGGTGATCCAAATGGCAAAGGCGATCCGAAGCGTACTGGAATGCTTGCCGAATACAGGTATAAATTGCACCGATAGCCCTTTTCAAGGCATAATACAATCTTCCTTTAACACCTGCAATTCGTCCTCCTTCGGAACTTACAGTTTTCTCTGCAAGATGTCTGGTCGCGGCAAGGGTGGCAAGGGTCTGGGCAAGGGTGGAGCCAAGCGTCACCGCAAGGTACTTCGTGATAACATCCAGGGCATTACCAAGCCCGCTATTCGCCGTTTGGCTCGCCGTGGTGGTGTCAAGCGCATCAGCGGCCTCATCTACGAGGAGACCCGCACTGTGCTGAAGAACTTCCTTGAGAACGTCATCCGGGACTCGGTGACCTACACCGAGCACGCTCGTCGCAAGACCGTCACGGCCATGGACGTCGTCTACGCCCTCAAGCGCCAGGGCCGCACCCTCTACGGCTTCGGTGGTTAAGCCCGTTCAGTCCACTCGCTTTGTTGGCCTTCGCGGCAAACGAAGCACAACATTCAATCCGGTGTTTTTCAACACCACCAAATCGCGTTGGAAATTCTGACCCTTTCGCCTGTTGTCAGAAGTTTGACATCCATGGACTTTTTCCCCTGAATGTAGTTTTTAACTGGTCCGGTATTAATTTCACCAGTCTCATGGTTTCAATTTGTTTATTTACACTAATGTCTCTTTCCACGCGAGGCTCAGTGATTCTGCTGGTCATCATCTGTTGGGCAAGAAGCATGCCGTCGTGACCTACTGCCAGTAGCTCTTTGCTCCTGCATTGCAACGCAAGATGCATTTACTGCATGCAAGGAAACAACACATGTCAGCGCAACAGAGCTTCCCGCCAATTTACATCCTAAGGAAGATTACCGGCAGGTCGGCTTGCAACCGTAAGATCATCGCCTTATGTCTGTGCACCATAACGTTTCCCCACCGTCACAGCTCCCCCCGCACCAGCAAACCACCGCCAACATCACTGTCGCAGAACTGTGGACCTGTAGCCTTGTACATTACCTTCGCAGCATTCGCCATGCCGCAGTCTTATGGAAGCAACCGGCAATCTCAACATCACTGTCACAGGACGATGTCACACAACGGCGCAAAAATGAACAAACTACACACAGCCAGCAGGGCGGGGCGGATATCCGACGCAAACGTCGGAGCAGGGGGGAGAACCCCCCGGGGAGGCACCCGGGCAACCCCCCGCCCACACGAACCATGTGCGTGTGTGTTTGCGGTTTGTATGAGTGTCTCTTTAAACGAACGGCCTTTGCCACAACCATCACATCGAACCCCTCACCTCCTTCCTTCCTCCTCCTTTCCTCCCATCCGCCACCCAATCCTCTTCCAATTCTCTTCCAAGGAAGAGGAAGAGGACGGCCATCTGCAACGTAAGGGGCAAGGTGCTATAATACGTAAGGCTTCCTACGCCACCGTACTATGCACCCTGGCCATTATCCCCTCCGACTTCCGTTGGCTGCTACTGCTACTGCTACTGTTGTGGCGACTGCTGCTAGCTACTGCCACTGCTACTGTTGCGCCTCACAGCCAACAGTTTGATGTCAAACAGCAAGGTGCGGTTGAAGTCTTTGAGGGTGCGGTTGTCCAACACGAAGTCGAGAGCCCGCTGGCCGCCCAGCTCCGCAGGCTGCGGCCCGTACCTGAAAAATACACAGTGCGCTGAACATCATCATGACGAGCGGCAGAATACGGTAGGGGTATTACGTGTACCACGTACAGTGGTACGTGTACGGCGGCTCGGTTTATTAGCTCACACACATTCACACACGCATACATACATACCCACACACTCTCCCCTCCTGCTCTCCTGCCCTTTCCATCCATCTCCCCCCCAATCCCACGAAACCCCAACCACCCCCCGTGCTCCTCACCTGTACTTGTAGATCTTCAAGTCAGGTGAAATGAGCTCCCCCGTGAACCTCTCCCCCCGGGCCAAGGGGTAGCTCAGCTCGGGAAGCTCTCCGGGGACCTCCACACGCACGATACCTTTGGGGTTTGCGGGGGGGCGGGACGGGAGGGATGAACGGGGGGAGGGGGAGGGAGGGTGGTTGACGCCAAAACGGGCTTTAGGGTTTCGGAGCTGTTGCCAGATCAGCCTGGTGGACCACAAGAGCCAGCCTAAAGACAACGAACATGAAAGGTATGTGAGATGCAGTTGAAAGACGTACAACGGGGGATGCCGGGTAGTAACCTCTCCAACTCTTTTCCTTGGGACTATTTTTATTAGATTGCGTCCCCTCTTCATATGTATGCGAGCATCTTCTGTCGGTGCCCTTAGTTTTGTTAACGGAACGGCCTCCAGAAAGCGCCCTCTACTTAGGCCCGTACTCCGACGCGGCATAACGTTTTCGTACCATGCTAGTAATCGTAAAGCCGTACAACATACCTCCTGCCCGCATGTTCTCCACCGCCAGCTCAAACGCCTTGATGGCCTGCAGGCATTGCCGTACAGACCGTACACATCATAGGGGTCATGGTTGACGTATAACGCATGCATTCCCCTACGCGCCCGCAGTCCGCGAACATACACACAGACACACTCACTCGCCGCTCGGTTACTGAAATGACAACCACATACTCATATATATTCATATATTATGCTCATCTGTGCAAGCTCCATTCCAAACACACCAGAGGTCCTATGGCTTAATAGATAAAGCGCCGGTCTACGGAACCGGAGATTCCAGGTTCGATCCCTGGTAGGATCGTTCGTTTTCATTGATTTTTACAATTTTGCAGGTGAGGCACTATAGGTAATGCACGTATCAATGCCCCCAGAGGCTCCGACCTACAGGATTCGCCGTCGACCCGGTAGATTCCATTGGATGCTGGTGGTGGGTGCGGAACCTAAGCAATTCACTGAGAAGTCGGCTAGGGTGACTGGATGAGGGTGCCCCGAAATACCGGGGAAGGCAGGGTTAGCAGCCGGGTAGCGGCCACAAGTGAAGATATGTGCCCCCTCCCACGCATCATACATACATACATACATACACACCTGTCCAGCGCCCAACTTGAATTCGTACGGCTCGTCCCGAATGCTCGTATTGTCGATGCGCTGTCCGAAAGGGCAAAAGGGCATTAGACAGAAATTGAGGTGGTTGACATTTTGCTTAGGGTGGTTGCGCTGGTGGTTGTGGTACCGTTGGATAGCTGATAACATTGATGAGGGATTTGCTTGGGAGGAAGAGGGGTTGGACGCAGAGGTTGCCTATACAGGACCTCATACCCCATGAATCTGAAACCTCTACCATGCACCTCACCTTGCCTGTAGCAGCCCAACCAAGAGAAGCAACGCCAGGATGAGCGGTGCCAAGTTAGGCAACACCGTAATATGAATGGCGACGGCGAGAATGCAACGCCAAAAAAAGCAACGCCCGTTTCAGCAACGCCAAGAACGCCGCCAAAACAAGCAACGTCATATCAGCGGCGTCAAAAATAGTCAGAGGCAGATCAAGGGAGATCAAGGCCGTCAGCAACATCAACATCACCGCCGAATAAGTAACGCTAAATTAAGCAATGCCCCCAATATTAACACCCATACCCGCACGCCGAGGTGAACGACCTCATGCACACAGGACGAGCGTGTGTGTGTGTGTGTGTGTGTGTGTGTGTGTGTTGGGGGGTGTGTTGGGGGGTCTGTTGGGGGGTGTGCACGGCCAATGAAGGGAGGACTCCAAACAGGCGCAAAACAACCAGGCATATGTTATGCAATTTACATTGCAATGTAAATCAATCATCAATACAACAATTGTTGTGACGTACTGTCGTAATTCGACCGTACGTACCTTGGTATCCCTTGGTGAATCCCGCCCAGTGCACCACTACCGTGTCCCCCGGACGAGGCTGGGCGCCCTCACCCTCCCTGGAGAGCGGGCAGAGGGCGGAAAGCAGCCGGAGCGAAACTTCCCGAGTCACTGAAGAGCCATTTTCCCTGCCATAATCATTCAGCCATACAGCCCCCTTCTCTCCCAGGCATGACGCTACACAGCAACTCTCCGCAACCCACCGGATGGTGAGCACTTTGATGCCCGATGGCAGTGTCACAAAATCGTCCGCGAGCGCTGGTTCCGGCAGCAGCAAAGTGCTTGATGAAATGGATACCGAGCCTAAAGCGCTGACCAACGCCACCAGCGCGCCACGACGGCCGAGCTCCAGCGGGCTGTCATTTTGCTCCGCTTCGGCTCCGCTCAAACCGTTTGCTCTACCCAAATAGTTTTCACCATCCTGATCTGTGATGCTATTGATCGTCCTTTGAACCACACATGCGTGCGTCTTACGAGGCCTCACGTTGGTAAAAGGCCGCTCGATGGAGCGAGATGTTAAGCCAGCGCGAGAGCTGTGAAACAATAAGCGCATCTTTTTCAACGAAGTGCAAGTTCGTAGAGCCTACTGTATGCAAGAATCCTTGCCAGTTCGTTTGCTAGCTTGCTTGAGTTGTGATGCCACAGCTAGGTGGGGCTTATTCCCAGCTTCATAAGGGAACAGGAAATTCAGTCGGAAACCTTTCTCGCACGGAGAGTCACGCACCGACCCAACCACCTAGCACTACAACCATCGCAGAGCATGTGTGTTTAAGGAGCACGTGTCTGGAAGAAGAGCATTTGCTGCTGCTTATTATAGCTAAAATTCTTGATAGGGACACACGCTGAGGACACGACAAGAAACCCGACATAAAGTGAGTGATATCTCTGGGGGCCGGATAGGGGGAGGGGGACGTACATTCGTATATATGTCCAGCTCTGTAGGTACGTCTGTATGTACATCCGCATCACCGAGCCTTACAGGTTCCACGCCTCTTTCCGCCATAACGGCAAGAACGCCGTTAAGAACGCTTAGGATTATAAGGCCCGGAACGCGGCGGAGCCGCATCGCCGCTCCAGTACGACCATTTAGACACGGTGTATTAGTCATCCGCGTTGGGTCGGGCAGGACTGGATCCCCCCCTTCCTCACCCCTCATCCCCCCTTTCTGGCCCCATCTCACCCTAGTCGAAGTACACAGCGGACGACACACACACACACACACAAACCACCAACTACGAACTACCAACCCCCCCTCCATCGTCCCCGGGGTTTAAGACCCCAACCACCACTGTGTCAATCCACAACCACCACTACAACAACACCGCCTCCACGTTAACCACCTTAACCACCCCAACCACCCTAACACCCGGGCAGCTGGGAAAGGAAAACCAGTTGCGAAAACCTTAAAACAGCGTAAAGGGCTTGAAGGTGCCGGGTGTCTTTCCAGCCTCTGCCTCCTTCGCCGCCGCCTTGGCCGCCGCACGCGCCATGCTGGCGTCAGTGACGGCGGGGTCGTGGCCCGGCGAGTACCGCCGTACAGCCGCCGTCGCCAGCTCTCCGCCCGCCACCTCGAACGCCGTCATGAACTCGGCGGCGAGGCGGCGGCAGCTCGCTACAGCCCGGCTGTTGTAGCCCATCTCCACCACGAGGCCTCCACCCCTGGAGCGAAACAGATTCAAGACCTGCGAACCACCAGGGTGTGTGTGCTGATGGTGAAGTGGAAGGGCAACGACGGCTAGGGTTAAAGAAGGGGGAGACACACACACACACATACACACACACGTTCACGGTCAGTAAACCTTCTGCGTCACGCCGTTCTGCGTCGAGCGCTGTGGTAACAAGAACCCCCCTTGCTTTGTCCGCTAGCTTACGATCGGAAAAAAAACACAGAGGACCCCCCTCAGCCACACCCCTTTACGCCAAACCCCAACCCCAACCCACCCACTTCCCCACAATTCGCACCCCCTCCCCAACCCCCACGGTGCCGTACTACCTGTGCAAACATCCAGTAATGTGGCACCCACTCTTGAGCGACCCGTGGGTCAGTGCTGAGAGCTGCGCTCATGAGTTGCAGTACGACAGCTACGACAGTGGGTTCCCGTGTATCGAGGCAGCTCTTTATTGGAGGCACCAGGGCGGTGGCGAATGTGTGGAGTCTGGGGGGGGGCGAGGCGGGCAAAGGGGGGCGGGAGGGGGGGAGGGGGGGAAGGGGGGGGGCCGGGCAAAGGGGAAGGGGGTAGTGGGGAAGGCGAAGGAAGGTTTAATGTACCTCTGTTGTTGTACATCCGCACGCGAATACAACACACAAAGGCTTGAATACACAGACAGACAGACAGACTGACTGACTGACTGACTGACTCACGTGTCCCCAGCCTTGAGCAGCAGCTCCTCCGAGCCCCGTATCGCCAAAAACCTGTACGGCTCGTCGTACTCCCGTACACCGTCGATGAAGATGGGCAGCCAGGTAGGTACGTCCAACTCCGAGGGTGGTTCCGGAGCCCAGGACACGTACGTACGACTGTACGGCCCTCCTTGCTCCGGTCCTTTCGTAACGCCCCTGGCCCACACAAGCGCGTCTGCCCGATTGCCCCGCCACCTCACTGATACGAAATCTAACGTACCATTGTCGTAATATGTACGGAGAAGAGTACGGGAACGCTGTACGGAGGAGGGTAAGTTGGGTTGGGTGCATTTCGGGGAATGCAGAATGCATGTACAACCATCGTCGGAGAATGCAAAACTTGGTTCCGAAAAGCAGCAAACCCAGCCCAGGGGTAAGGGGGGTTGGCTAGGATGGAAGACAGGTAGGGTTGCTGCAAGGGCAGCATAGGCGTACCATTCACATCCCCACATTCTCTCGCTCGCTTGCTCGCACGCATGCGACTCTTTTTCCCCAAAAACACACTACTCCCGCCCACAACCCCACAACCCCACACTCCAAACTCACGTGTTTTGGGGGAGCGGCACTCCAGTCCAGGGGGGTTCCCCCATTCCGCGGTGAGGGGGTGTGGGGGGAAGGTGAAACCCCAGCTCCACCCGTAACCCCCCCACCGGCGCCACCGGCATGTCGACCAGAAGTACGGCCTCCGAGTCGTACTCCCCCGGTGCCGGGTACGAATGGCGGCTCGCTGTACAAGTCCGTACACCAGGTATGTATGTAAGGTATTTCAGGTAGGACTTTAGTTAATTGAGTTTGTTGAGGGAACCCCCGGATAACGGTTACACGGTGGTTGGACGGTTAGAGGGGACGGTTGAACAGTGTTCAAGGTACGATGTGTCGATACTGATTTGGGTTGTAGATTATTGAATGACATTTAAAAATTAAATCAGGGCTGCCGCGGGTTTTGCTGTTTTATGAATAGTTTTGGATGGATGCGCTGAATGAACTCAGTTAGTTAGTTAGTTAGTTCATCTGTTGGTTAATTGGTTGCAGTAGACCCGAAAGGGTCATCAACCCACAAACATACATACACATGCACATACACACACATGCACATACACACGCATGCACACGCTCTCCCTCTCACGCCCCAATTCATTCCCAATTTTAAAGCACTTACACATTGACGGGGTTCCGCTTGAGGTGCTGCTTGAGGGTATTCCGTTGCCGTACTGACAGCCCCTCCCCCGCCTTCAGAAACTCCTCCGGGGGCCGGGTGGGGAAACCCAGTCGGGGTTTGTCCAGGTCACGAAGGATGACGGGGCCTTGGGGGCCCAGGAGGAGGGGGGGGAGGGGAGGGGAATGGGTAGGGGAGGGGAGGGGAATGGGTAGGGGAGGGGAGGGGAGAAATTGTGAGATACGTGGGAGTATGAAGTGTGTGTGAATATGTGTGTATGCCTACGTGTACGGCACCTCCTCCCGGTTCCCACTCCCCCTGTCTGTACCGCTACACTCGACGGACTGCGGTACGGCAATGTGCTTAAAACTCAAACAGCCATTGTAACCGTTGCAACATGACTAGTACGGCAGAAAATTTTCACCGGTACGGATTATTACGTAACCGGTGCCAACCAACGCCTTCCATGGTCGGTCAACTCTGCGGCAGAGTGTCCTTTTCCCCGCCGTCACGGAAGTGTTTATGAAGGGATGGGACCTTAAGTTTTCTCTTTCCCACTGTTCTCCTTCTTAACCACTTAACATGGAGTATGGACAGCTACAGGAGGGGAGGAGGAAGGGGATTATTACACACCTGGAATCTGATGCGGAGGGCTGTCTGCAGTACCGTGGTCGTACAATGATATTTTACCGTGCTGACGTGGCGTCGTGGGGTTTTTGGCCCCGCCGGGGGTCCGTAAGGGCGCGGCGGACTTGGGCCGCTGCCGCCGCGGGGGGGAGCCGCTCTGAGGCCCAACTGCTTTCAGCTCTGCATCTGAAGAAGATGGATATATGGACGGCTGCCGTTGTTTGGCAGCTGCACGTTCCGCAGAGTCCAAGAAGGCCATCATCTGCTTGGCGGATGCCGGCTGTCCGGCGACATTTTGAGACCGGTCTGCCCGAGCGTTGCCTTGAAGGCGAGGAGATGCAGTTGATGGTCTTTGGCTTCTCGTCGCCTGCTGCTGGGCCTGCGGTTGCGGCTGGGGAGCTGCGGCTCCGGAGGATGCTCCGCGGCTCCCACGGCCCGAGTAAGTAATCTCAGCCATTTTGCGCCAGTATTTTGCAGATTGGACTCTAAGGTTAACATCTCAGGTGGGTTCTGTCGCCTGGGTGCAAACCGGGGCGCCTTCAAGCTTTCGCATGCAAGCAGTGACGAAACAGGGAGCAACAGGTCCCAGATAACCCAGATTTTCTGGATAAATATATTCAAGGCATACTATATAGTTATATGGAAAAAATATTACAGCGGAGCAGCCTCCTGTCGCAAAGGGTTATGTCCCGTTCCATGCTTAATTGAGGAATGTCCGTCGACGTTGTTTCAGTAGATGATGACATAACGTGAAGAACACACTTTGCTCAAAGTCGCTGAACGAGGAATCTATGCTGCTTGCGAGTCGTTAGAAGTCGTTGAAGCCCTTCTGTTATATGGATCCAGCTTTCGCCCACCGAAACGTTCATAGCTGATGCAATCTCGCATGCAGTGCATGCAACAAGCAATCTCCTTAAACCGGTTACCTGCTTATAACTAAAGGGTTCATGCTTTGTAGCTCATGACTTGGGCCGGAACTGAGGAATTGAAGCCTGAAAAATGCATTGCATTCCTTCATGGTTAATGTCACCAACATGCCTTTTATAAGATAAACAGTATCCACCGGTTAGCCGCCGTAACAGCTCGCGTCTAGACTCAACGACGGCAGCACTAGTGGAAATGATTCCGCAGGGGCGGCACCCATGCCTCAACGCGCGCAACGAGCCCTATAAGGCCAGTACGAAACCCTTTCTGTGTTTACGTGTCCTTTCTCGGACATCTCGGACCGTCGCCCGGTCGTCAGCATCTGAGCCTACTCGCGATTTGGCTGCGGCAAAGGAGGCGGCCGCGGCCGCACGTGTGGCAAAGGGGTACCACGAATCTCCTTTTCCGTTAAACCACCACACGGAACTTGTTGCGTCGTCGCAAGGGGAGCGCATGGAATCCATTGCGGAAAGTACGGCATTGGCGACGGTGGCGCCGCCGTCGTTCCTGCGGCAGTTGCTGCTGCCGCCGCAGGAGAGGCAAGATCCGAGGTCACCAACGATGAAATTGCAACAGCCATTAAAGCAGACGCAAACATCGCAACAGCGTGCAGTGGGAAATGTCTCCATGCCCACCCCATCCTGCAGCAGCAGCAGTAACAGCGGCACCAGCACCAGCAGCAGCGGCAGTAACGGTGGTGGCGGCGGTGGTGATGGTGATGCCTCAGCAGCAGCAGTCTCCTGCAACCGCCGAGCCGCGACCATGGCCTTTGCCTCTGCCGCCGCCGCCGCCATCCTGGCGCCGCCGCCGTCAACGCCAGCTGCTGCTGCGGTGGCCGCCGCCGCTATGCCCTCCGGCGGCGGCGGCGGCAGTAGCAGCAGCAGCCGCTTCTCACCTCAGGCTACATCTCCCGCGGGGCAGCAGCCGGAGGGCGCAGCTGGAGGCGGGCCTGATGACGTGGCCGGAGGAGTACGGCAACAACTGTCGCAGCGCCGTGTATGGCCTGTCGTACCGCAGGTCCCTCTTGCTCATGGGCTCCGTGTTAGTAAGGTCCGCGCGGTTTCTTTGTTCTCGTTCTCCCATGTATGTATGTATGTATGTGTGTGTGGGAGAGAGGGGGGAAAACCGTGTCCTGTTTTTTTCGGGTATCTTTTCAGTGGTTACCCAAGTTGTCAACGTTTCCCTCCCACACCGCCGAAAAACATGCTCTCCCCCCTTCCCTTTTTTCCCCTTTGGATTCTTCTTGTTCTTGGGCCTTATCTTCTTCCGGACCCTATATCCTTCCGGGCCCTATGGCGCAACGGAAAGATCATTCGCGGATGTTGGCAACTCAGCGGACGGCACCAGGGCGACCCAATGACGGGTAAGTTAAGGTCGTTGACGGTTGACGGTTGAACAGTTACAAGGCGGTTAAGTGAAGGGTTGTAAAAAATCTTCGGTATGCAATGTTATTGTCTCAGGTATTCTTAACCACCAACCACCAACCGCCCGCCAGACCGTACCGTTGGTCGTGAGGCGGTTACGGACCTGGCTGCCTTCCACCGCGCCGGCATCTCAACCTTGGACGTGGCGGATAACTACGGACCTGCAGAGCTGCTGGTGGGTAGTTGAGACAGTTGGAAAAGGTTTGGTGGTTGGGACAGTTGGGAAAGGGTTGGTGGTTGGAGCTTCGGAGGCGGCGGTGTGGCGGATCAGGAGGGAAATAAAATAGAAGATGAAAAATGCGAAAATGCTTATCATGTTTATCAGTCTGTTTTTGAAGTTGGTTAAGTTGGTTAAACAATCTTAAGGTAGCAACCAAACAGCTTCCCCCCCGCATTTTCATAGGTCCTCGTAATCCGTTGCGGCCATCGTTGTTTCGAACGCAGGTGGGGCAGTACCTGCGGCTGTACCCAGGGGACGCTGCTACAGCCACCATCGCCACGAAGTTGTCGTACTTGAGCGAGGAGGACATGTCCACAGTCAGCCGTGCAATGGTGGAGTACGTAAGTGTGTTTTAGTCGTACATATGATGTGTGACGATGTGGCTGTGCGCGGCAGCTGTCGTAAAACACCGGCCTCTAATGTCAGGTCGTACACGTACCAGGTCGTACACGTATCAGGTCGTACACGTATTAGGCCGTACACGTACCAGGTCGTACACGTATCAGGTAGTACACGTACCAGGTCGTACACGTATCAGGCCGTACATGTATCAGGCAGCGCGGGTGTCAGGCCCGGCCAGATATGACGTGTAATACACACACGCACTCACTCACTCACACTCACACAAGTTGGGACTGGGCAGCAACCCCCTGCCAGTGTCAGAGCCGGTCAGATACTTTGTAATCTTCACACACACACACTTTTGTAATCTTCACACACACACACACACGCGCGCACATGCACATACACATGCACACGCACATGCACATACACACACACGTCCTTAGCGGAAGCTCCCTTAAAATCCGAAACCCTAAAATGACACGCAGCATTCCAATACACGCTCTTACATACATAACCTCCCCAATCTCTTCCCCCCTGCTTTTCCCCTCCCTTTCCCCCCTTGCCCGCACCGCAGGCCGTACGGAGCTCGCTCGTTCGACTGGGACGGGAGCGGTTGGATCTCGTTCAATTGCAGTGGGCGGAACCTGTACGGCACCGTCGGTGGTTGGACGTGCTCAAATGGCTGGCGGTTAGTACCGTTGTCTGGGCCGCTGGTCCTGAATCACCTTTCCTTTTTTGGGCGGGAGGATAATGGTTGTAGTTGTGGTGTGTCATTTGCATTCTGTATTCTGTACTAATTGTACAGTTTGTCTGTCTGCGTTTCGTATCTGTATTAATGTCGTTAAATTAAAATATTGTACGCATACATCGTATGCATGTAGTAAGATTTGAAGGGGTCCTTGTTCGGTTATCAGCAATGATGGGGTTGCATTTTGACAGTTGTCAGCATTCCTTCGATGTTCGTCCATTTGTACGACTGTACAACAACGCAGGACCTTCGGGAGGAGGGCCTTATCAGCCACCTGGGCGTCTGCAACTTTGCCGTACCGCAGCTGGCCGCGGTACGGCATGTGATAAGGGACTTGGGGGAATGAGGAGGCGGTTAGGGGTTGCTTTAACTTGTCATTGAGACTGTACGGTACCCTGGTCTAATACACACACACGCACACACCAGGTATACGACAGGTGTACGGCACCAGTTCCCGTTCCTCCCCGTCCATCTCTCCTCCCCTTTGTACGTCGGCAGTTATTTCCGTGATTTGGCCTCGCTGCTGCTACTGCTGCTGCTGCTGCTGCAATTGCTGTTATTGCTACTGCTACCGCTGCTGCTACTGCTGCTGGTATTGCTACTGCTACCGCTGCTGCTACTGCTGCTGGTATTGCTGCAACTGCTGTTATGTTGCTGCTGCTACTGATGCTACTGATGCTGATGTTGCTGAAGCTAATTCTGCTGATGCTAATGCTGTTACTGCTGCTGCTGCATGTATTTCCCTCCTTTCCATCTCCTTACACCTGCCCCCGGCCGCCCCCCCCTCCCCCTTCCGGGGCCCACCAGGCGGTGGATTCCCGTGTCGGCCTCGTCAGTAACCAGGTGCAGTACTCGCTCCTGGACAGACGACCAAAACTATTCATGGAGAAGGTGTGTTTTTGTGTGTTTTGTGTTTTTGGGGAGGAGATGGAGATGAGGGGCGGTTGAGGGGGGTTGGGTATCCTTGGAGAAGGTGCGGGGGGGGGGAATATGCGGTGCTGGGGTTTCGGCTTTGTGTTGGGTGGTATCGGTACGTACGGAGCAATGGTAGTTGGGAGCTTTGGCGGTTGTGAACGTATGTGCGTGTGTGTATTTGGGTTTAGGAAGCCTCTTGAACATCAAGCCTCCAGGCTAGGGACCGACGTACAGGGCTCTATGTCGTACAGTCGTACGGCACTGTATGCAAACCTCTTACCTGCTTTCGGTATCAGCCTGTTGGGTTGGGTGGTACTTGCCATGTGTGTTTTACACGCCATGTTGGCGTTCAGGCCGCGGCATCGTACGGCATAAAGCTGTTGGCGTACGGCACCGTGGCCGGTGGCTTGCTGGCGGACAAGTACTACAATGTCCCGGCGAGCAAGTACGTAAATTTTTGGTGTTTGTTCGTTTGTTCCGTGCAAGGAAAAATAATTATCTTGTGCATCTTTGTGTAGGATCGTCATCCTCTCTTGTTTAGCGAAGTACAAAAAGGCTCTGTACGGAAGGTCGTACAAGACCGCGCCGCTTGGCAAGCACATCCTCAACCCCAGTCCAACATATGCCTTTGCAAGTTTGCGAAAAATTTACATTTTTCATTGTCTCTTTTTAAGCAATAATGCGCGTCACATTTTGAATTTGGAAAGGTGTTTGTGTGCATCTGCCGTACATTTCCCCCGACGTAGCACAACGTCACTTCCCTTTTTTCGTTTTCTACCGCGCAGGGTCCGCCTGGATACGGCAAGTAAGCAAAAGTACGGCTTCGTACTGCGGCAAGCGGGACAGGGGTCGGCGGGTGGCGGAGGGGGATGGGGCTGGATGCAAGAGGTGCTGGAGGCCACACGTACGGTAGCACAGCGGTACGGCGTCTCGTCCAGTGCCGTAGCTACCGCATGGGTCCTTCACCAACCGCAGGTTGGTCCGTGCGTGTCTCTCAAGTGTATGTATGTATGTGGCCATTGCGACATTCAAAGAACTGCAAAGCTCCTCGAGCCCGCCGCTGTCGCCGCCGCACCCTGCCTCTGTTACCGCGGGGGACCGCTGCGGGACCGGCTCCCAATATAATTTCGTTTCGCCACTTCCGCCGCGCCGCCGCCGCCGCCGCCTTACGTGCCAACGCCACCGGATAACGCGCCGTCATGGGCGGCACTGGCGGCACTACCCACCCCCCGACTGACTGACCGGACCCCTGGGAGCTCTCTCAGCTCCGCACCCGAGGGGCATTTTTATGGCCGCTATGCTCTCCGCCATCCATTTCTGTTGCGAAAAATGTCAAAAACACATGGTACGACACGATGGTTACTGCTACTGCCCACTCCCCCTATCCCCCCCCATGGCAGGTGGCTGCGGCAGTAGTGGGCGCCCGCAACACCCGCCATATCCGCGACATGCAGGTGTGTATGTGAGCGTGCATGTGTACGGCACCAGGCTCGTCATGAATGTGTACGACACATTGGGGGGGAACCCTTAATTGTAGTATTTGCCTAACTAACTGCAACCACCTGCAACTACCTCTTAACCACCTCCCCGTATCTCTCTCTTGTGCCGTGCCGTCAGGCCGCCTGCGCTCTGCACCTGGACGACGGCGACCTTCTAGATTTGGACGCTGTTTGGGAGGGTGTGCCCGACCCGCCGACCAGTGATGTGTACGTGTGGGAGCGGGGGGGAGTCTGGTGACGGGGGGGAGCTTGATGACAATGTACGACAATGTACGACATTGCGAATACGCGGGCCGTTACGGTGACGTCACAACGCGGCTGGTGACGAGATGATGAGAATAATGACGTTATAAGCCTGTTGTTCCTTTCCTATTCCCTTTTTCCTTTTTCACGTGTCGTACCTTTGCCGTTGCCGTACAGTCGCCGTACCTCGCTCCGGTGTCACTTCTACTGGATCGGATTTGTTCCTTACACTCCACCATGTAGTACATTCCTTTCCCCTCACGCTTGTAATATAATAAAATACATACATATATTTATACATGTATGTATGTCGTACAATAAACTAAACAGCAGCAATAAATAAGCACACTTGCTGTTTCAGTCGCCGTCCACTGCTATGTGGTGAAGAAGCCTCCCGCCACATCCCGTTGCCATTTCTGTAGTAACAGCAGTGGTACATAATACGGCACACATAACTTCTACAAATACGCGCGAATAAAGCGCTCCCGCCAGCATCTTAAGCGCCTTTCTATCTTTTGCCAGCTACTACAGTTTCGCAGCTCATCTCAGAAACGAACGACGTACACGATGCATCACTCCCAAACATCCCCCGAACATAAGGCCCGATGCCACAAACATTATGCACCTATATATAAATCAACCTGGCCGGTGATCTCGGCCCTCTAAAACGCAGCAACACAACACATGACGTACGGCAAAGCAGTACAACTTGCGAACTTGCGACAATGACGATGTACCCCCCCCGAATTTGCAACGACAAGGACAACGACAACGAAAAGGACGAATCCTATCCGCGATTCCGTCTCACGGCGATGCGTCCTCTTGTAAGTCTTGTAACGCCGCTTCCAGAGCTTCTTGTCGCCGTTGGGGGGAGAAGGGCGGGGAGCCTCCGAGGGCGGTCGCCTCCGTGCTGGGCACAGCCTGCCGGCAGAGTACATACATACATACATACATACATAGCCCACAGTGTGATCTAAGTCAGGCATACATACATACATACACATACATACAATCTAAGTCATACATACGTACATACAGGGTTCCGGTGGGGGATTCACAGGAGGGGGGATGTCAGGGTTCATTGTAAGCGACGGGAGATAGATTAAGAGTCACCAGAGCTGCAACAATAAATGTTGGAATCGTCTAGAAGTTCGAGTTGCCAACTTCCGGTGGAGGGTGGGGTCCTTTCACTCAAAGAAAGGCCCCTAACTAACTTGGGGCTTATACGACTAACGGAGACCTACACATTGCACTAACCACTAACCCCCAACAGCCATGCACTACAAACGTTTTACAATTTTCTTTTGAGAAGCCAGCATCAAGACGCACACTACCAACGTCACACTTTTATTATTACCTGCAGTGTACGGCCCCGCTCCGGAACCGCATCCACCAAACCGCTAATAAGAGCCGCCAGGTCTTCCCGCCTGATAACTGCCCGCCTGCTGCCGCCGCCGCCGCCGCCGCCGGACCCTTTCAGTTGCTGCTGAAGGAGGGACACACCTCCGCTGCCGCCGCCGTCACCGCTTGTGCTTCCCGGGTCTTGAAAGCCGTACACCTGCCGTACACGCCGTACGACAAGCGAGCTTCATAAGACATGGCTTCAACGTAAGTTGGGATGTAACATATTTATATAGCTCAAAATTATTGTGCTCTTTCTAATTTTTTTTGAACATAGGGGGCATGTTAGGGGGTTTTCAAAGTCTTCATCACCTATCTGCTGCTTTCGTACCTGTACGACACTGTACGGAAGACCGGATGCCTTAACGGACGCCTCTGCGGTCGAGTCCGCCAGGTCCCTAAGCTCCCTCGCCGCCGCTCTGCCACTCCCGAGGAGTGAGAAGGGCCCCAGGCTGAGGCCGCCGGCATCACTGGCAGCTGCGGGTGGGGGGGGAAGGGTGCGGTGGGTGGTGTGAGGTGACAGGGCAGGTGGGAGGCGTGGAGGGGGGGGGGGGAGATGTGTTGTGGAAACCTTGTCCGCAGAGAGCCGTGTGTGTTTTCAAACACACGCACCCACAGACATGGCTCTATCTGCGAGTGCGCACATGAGGGGATGCGTGCGTACGTGCATGCGTATGTATGTATGGTCGTATGTCTTGTCGTGTACGTACACGGCTTGGCCAGAAGCGGCCACGCCAGCTGGTGCAGTACGGCAACTGCAAGGTGAGATGCAGGGGAGCAAATGTGACATGAATTTGACCCTAGAAGCCGACCACGGCATGGGTACGGCATGGGTACGGCCAAGATACGTGTTCGCCACATCCATGCTGGTGACATGGCCCTTCCTCCCTCCCTCCCTCGCTCACTCACTCACTTTAAGCATCCCTACGTATCTACGAACCTGCCTATCCATCTACCTGCCTAACTAACAAACGAACTAACTGCCAATCCACTTCTCCTTCGCTCTGGCGGGATGCGAGTCTCCGGCCAACCCCCCCACACACAATCCATACATACAATGTCCTTCCCCCCCATCCATCTTGCCCTGGCAGCAGCTTCAATCGTGTGTGGTTCGTCTTTCCCCCCCATCCCCAGATTTCCCCCCATCCCCCGTCCCTGCTACCGCTACCGGCGCACACGACATACATACCCGCCGGTGCCGCGGACAGAAGCACCACATGCCCCACTTTGGCCGCTTTGGCCGCCTCCAACAGCCCCCTAGCAGGTCGGCCTAGCAGCACCAGGCACTTGACACCCCGGAGTGCCCGAGCGGGGCTGCTGTTGACGGCTTCGGCGGGCAGCGGCGTGGTGTACGGCCCGTACGCGGTCTTGGCAGCTGCCACATCTCGTACGAGCAATCGCAGCTGTTGCCTAAACCATGTGGGTAATATGGATTATGATGAAGTGGGATGGTGGGATGGTTTGGAGATATAAGGGGCGTATATGTTGGGGTGATGGGGCGTAGATGGTGGGTCCAACGAATTTCTGCGTGGCACAGGCACACACATACACACACACACACACACACGCACACACACACACATACACACACACACACACACACACACACACACACACACACACACACACACACACACACACACACACACACACACACACACACAGCTGGTGAACCAGAAGACCAAGATCGCCCAAACCACCCAAGATCCCCCGAAGAGTTCAAGAAATCAAATTTTCAGGATATTGGATATTGGATCAAAGTGGAATGAAGCTGCCACCTGTGCAACCCATTTGCCTACGGACAGGCCCAAGTCCTTGAAAACCCTGCCCCCTGATTTTGGTTATGATATCCGAGAACCCTTACGGGAGTAAGACAAATTTATTACCTGGCTAGGATTAGCTGCAACACCACCTGCTCTCCAATGGGACTGTCCGCTTCCGTCACTAGCACGACGTCCGATGCCGCATCAGGCTCCTCCGGCTCCTGGATTGCAGGAAGCCAAAGGTCATGCGGATGGGCGCAAATGGATTTCCAGTAATCGTATGCACTTCGTCCAGCTATGAGAAGGGTGGATATCTGGCCGCAAACCAACCTGCTCCTCACCGCCATCCACAGGTCGTTCACCGGCTCCGTACCATTTTCGGAGTTTGGGGCCAGCTGCAAAGGAGCAGATAGCGAGGTATTATCTCAGTTTTAACCTTCCATGATTGGGCATTGTCAGGTTTGGTGCAACCGGGTCGCAAGCATAATGAACTTCTGCACCTGTGACGAAGTCCAGCAGCTCATCCCCTATCTTATTTCTGCATATGAAGGCACTTCTGATCCTTTTGACAGCGGTGACACTTAAGCCTTTTGAGGTTGTGATAGGCCGATGGCCAGTCGTTCTCACGATGTTGGAAAGCATAGCACAATGCAGCCCGATGTATAACCGAAAATGTATATTGCCAAGACTTCGTTAGGAAGTGTATCCACGCGTTGCTGTAGTTCGAAAAGTAGGAGAAAGCAACACCTAGCGTAAACCGTTTCAGCAAAAGCACACGACCGGAAATATACAAATTTCAAGGTTAGCCTGTGCGAGCCTTTTGGGTCATCCTTGCCGGAGTCTTACAGCTGTAGATGTTTAGGAAACGGATAAGGGAGCTAACGACTTACAACTGATGTTAACGGTGCTGTACTGCAGTTCTCCATGGTTAAACAGGGAGTCCGTGACAGCTTACAGCGCGTGTTCCCGGGCTGCAGAAACGAGCACAAACATAGTCCTACAGTCCAAACAGGTCTTCTTTCTTCGCCATAACCTGGCTCAGATAGACGCTTCGAGATGCCAAGGTCCATGTTGTTAATAAAGTCGGCATGCATCACCTCATTCGCGTCAGGAAGTCTCCCGTTTACAACGGTGACGATCTCCCTTTTTCCCGTGAACCAGCGAAGCAGGGCTTCCGCAATAGTCACCTTGAAAAAAGTCGCAGCTGAAATACACGGACCGCCTGACAGTGTCCGCATCACCTCTACGTAGCAGCTTAGAGCATCCAGACAAGCTAAGAGAAAGAACTTTGTTCCTTTTCCAAATAACCAGCCAAAAGCATAGAAGGCTTGCTTTTCTTGCCCACCTTGCTTTTCTTTCCGCTTTCCTGATTTTTCTTTCCAGTACAGTTGGTTTCGAAACCCAGTCTTAAAACTCCAATTCCAATAACCAGGCAACAAGTCCTTATCGCAAGTACGGCAAGTACGGCATTCGCAATATTTTTTTCACCCGGGAATACTTAGATATTCAAGTACACGCAAACATAAACCAGGTAATGTTCCTGGAGTCCCAAACTGCCGCTGCTGCAGCGCCCATACAAATGCAGTCTGCGTCCAGATGTGAGATGGATGAGCACAACGTCGAAATGCTTTCACGGAAATGCATGTCCGCAATAAAATTAATGTCCCGATGGGTATTACCTCGTTGCTCAAATTAACTATCCCACCACATCGCTGCTACAGTATCTCCCGCTTCGTACAACCCCAACCTGAAGGTGATATCTTGACCTCCTATAACACCAACATGAAATGTACCGCCTTCCAGAGCACAATTATGAGCGTTAGATGAAGTAATGCAAAAACTTATGCATACACCCACGTCATGTACGACATACACGTGTGAGTAAAAGCGCAAATTGGAGCGTGTCTGCGTGCGATTGCGCACATCGTTGTTGTGCTGTGGTTTTTCGTCAAGCGCAATTGCCGCTGGGCCCTCGTCCTTCTGACTCGCTACTGCCAGAAAGCCGAAAAATACCTTACATGCAGGCATACATAAACACATGCATAGCACATCGAGGTCGGGGGAAAACAAAGGGGCGAGGGATGGGAATCGTTGGTGACACACACACACACACATACACACGTGCACACACACATACATACACACATACACACGTGCACACATACAGTGCTGGACCAGACGGCCTTCTCTAAAATCGACGGGTATCAGGCCCACCCGCCGCCGCCGCTGCGGCCGCTTCCTGTTTCGTCAATCTCTCCAGGACCTCCTCCAGCCGTTCCGCTATGGCGTTAAAGCTGGGGCGGGCTCGGGGACTGTCGTGCCAACATGCCTTTTGGGTGGAGATGACGGGAAGCAGTTGGGGAGGTTAGGGCAGTTGGGGAGGTTAGGGCAGTTGGGGAGGTTAGGGCAGTTGGGGAGGTTAGGGCAGTTGGGGGTTAGCGCAGACAGGAAAGGAACGGGGGAAGAGAGGCAGCAGGATGGCCAATAGGACGCGGGGGGGAGGGGCCGACAGGGGACATACACACGCAAACACAGCTGCTCGCAGCTAGGTTGTACGAATATACATACATGAATATACACACACCTAGACATACACATGCACAAACACACATCCAGACGCACGCATAAACATACATACACACATGCTGACACATGCCCCCGAAGGTTCCGGGATCGAGACCTGTCAGGGTCGAAAATCCTTCCGATGGTGGAAGGTAAAGTGTCCCTAGTCGATGGACGGTGGTGACCTGGGATAAAGTAGGCCTATGAGCTGACCGGGAGTGGAGTTGAGCCGTTGTTGATTCGGCAAATTCCGTTGGATGCCGATGGCGGGTGCGGAAGCTGAGCGATCCACTGAGAAGTCGGCCAGGGTGACTAAAAGAGGGTGCCCCGAAATACCGGGGAAGGCAGGGTTTCGCCGGGTAGCGGACACGGGTGAAGATATGTGCCCCCTGTCACACACATCATACATACATACATACATACACACGTACCTGCATCAGTGCCGCCCAATCCGGATCGCAGTCTCCGGGGACTCCAGGCCGGAGGCTCCCGGTCATAACGCCTGCGAATATGTCGGCCAGACTGTACGAACTGTACGGCTGCTCCCCGAGCTGCCAGATCTCCCATAACACGATGCCGAAGGAAAATACGTCCACCTACAAATTTGTAAAGCTTTTAATTGTTTTTTGGGTTATTTATATTTTGTCGTTAGTTATGTGATAAGATATAAAAATGCATATTTTCTTTCGGCTGGAGGACTTCATGGGGAGGAGAAATCGGAACACGTCATCCACTCTTACAATTCTTCCGCAACCTGGCGTTGCAGACTTCATTAACATCGTACTACCAGAAAAACCATGGACATCGAAAACTATTGTATGAAGTGATCGCTGGTGTGTCGCCACTATCCTTACGTGTAATCGACTGGTTTGTTACTTGTTATGCTCAGGGATCAAAACTTGCCATTGTTTGAGTCATGTGTGTTTTGTATTGCATGTGATTAATAAAAGGTTATTTTTTTTAATATTTGAGCCGCGATACGTAAGTAAGTATGTAATACATACTTACTATGTATGCATGTATGCGTCCATGTGTTTGTTACAAGTATCTGTCCGGGCCTGACGACGCTGGCCAGGGACTGCGGGATCCCAGGCCCAACGGAAATACCGCCTAAGCTATGTGTGTGTATGTATGTGCGTCTGTATGTGTGTGAAAGTTCAGATACAAGATGGACCCAGAGGGGGGAAAAAGGGAAAGCGGAAAGGGGCAACAACAGGGATTGGTTAAAAAGCGCAACCACCACGTCTATTACGATAACTGAAGTACCTTTTCGTTGACTCTGTCGTCCAGGCAATCCATACCGACTCCGTTCGTATTTGCGGTTGAGGCGGTTACAGTAGTCGTTGGCCCAGTGCCTAGGTCACTCACGCCGTCGCTGCAACCTTCGTCCCGTACACCCGCCGCCAAAGCCGCCTGACGTTGCTTCTCCCGTACCCCAGGAAATAGCTCCGGAGCCATCCACGGCAGAGTTCCTCGCATGTTACCGCTCACAAAACTATCCTTCTTTTTCTGTCGTACAGTTGTCGTACACATGCATAAAACGCACACGAAACCGGTTGCGACGTTGGATAGGGAGGGCGAGTATCCACGCGTGTGTGTGCAAACATACATACGAACACATAAAATTACATCGTGAAAAGGCAATGTTTGTCAAGGTTGATTATGTGTTATGATGTAGACATATATAAATACTAATATAATAATATTATTTATACATTATACTAATCATACGTCGTGGATGTGGTGCTGCCGATTTGCGCATTTACAAAACGCAATATGCCTAAACGCGTACAAGCATGGAAAAAAGTACAGAATCATAAAATCAATAACGACCGGATAACAAACTTCTTTATCAGCAATCCCTTATTATATATTTCACCTTGGACAGCCCGAGGTCGCCGATCTTGACCACCGGTCGCGACGGATCTCGCAGGTCGCACAACAGGTTATCGCACTTGAGATCGAAGTGCACCAGGTACTGACCGTGGAGATACTCCATACCGCGAGCAGCCTTTCGGTTTGTGTTAGTGAGGAGAGGAGAGGGGAGGAGAGGGAAGGGGAGGGGAGGGGGTTTAGGAGGAGTGAAGGAAAAACCCCTTTGTAATGGGGCATGTACGGAGGCAAGGTGTACGGAGGCAAGGTGGTTGTGGAGTGTGCGACGCGGGGTGTACGGCAGATGGGAGCATCCCGGCTTGTGTAAAGCTGAAGAAGTCGGGGAATGTTGAGGATGGGACGGCCGAAGGAAGGAGGTGTGACTGACGTAAATATATAACGATTTGAGCGGCCGCGGTGTATGTATGTATGTATGTGTATGTGTTTATGCGTGTACGACATCCACCTGCTATGTCAACAATTTCTTTTGGCGTTAATAAAGTAACGAGTTTATTTCACTAGCTAATAAGTTTGGCGTTAATAAAGTAACGAGTTTATTTCACTAGCTAGGGTCGCCGCAACCTGGCAAATGACAGACACTCTCCAACAACCCTTCTCCTAGCATAAGTCATAAAACCGGTTTCCTGTATTCAAGTAGAATGCCGTACTATGTCGTACTCTCATGTACGACATTGCCGTGCAGCCATACGCACCTGCAAAGCGATTGCCGCCCGAAGCCGCCGGCTGATGTCCGCCCCCTATCCGCATGTCGCGCAAGGGGTGTAGTAGTCATATCGACGACAAAATAAGCAGCAGTACATGTTACTACAACAACTATACCGAGCCATAGGCCGGAGGAGGCAGGGGAGGTAGTGCAGTCGATGCTTTTGTAATATACACCACCCTTACACGGTACGAATACGGCTGAACCCTGTACGGCAATCAAACATCGTAGTCGCACGACAACGTGATGATATCGTGTCGCCGTCATGGTCAGCGAACACCAACACGAGAACACCAACGGGCAGGGGGAGCGGAAGAAGCAGAAGGAAAGAACGGAGGGCCCTCCTAGACACACACACACACACACACAGATACACACACACACAGATACACATACACACAGACACACACACACACACAGACACACACACACAGACTAGTCACGCAGCACAAAGGCACGATTTCCTACCATACATACACGCACACTACGCACATCCATACGACGACACAAGCATCATACATACATACGCACATACATGCATACATACATACAAGACTAACCGACTTGTGCTGTGTGCTCCCGACCCTTGCGCTGTGTTTCGGCTTCGGCCCCCGGCTCTCGCGGCCCACAGTGTAATCTAAGTCATACATACATACATACGCACCGGCACACCTGTTTCCTCAGCCGGGTGAGTCCGCTCTTCAGAGAGCCCATCCGCAGGTACTCCACAACGGTAGCATAGCACCCGGGGACGGTTACAATGCCGTAAAAGGCGATGACGCAAGGGTGCCTAAGAGAGGCCAAACGCTCCGCCTCGTAGAACACCTGCATGCGTGCGTGGCGGTGGGGGATTTGCGTGAGCGTGTGTGTATTGGGGGGGAGAGAGGAGGGGGGTTGTAACGACGCAAGGCCCATCTGAGCATCCGGGGTTACGCCTTTGCTGTGTTACAGGGGGAACGCGTGGCGGGGTTAGCGTTGGGCGGTGTGTGAATGAGAATTGGGAAAGTGAGTTTAGAAGGCAAGGGAGCATTAACTATCAGATTTCAGTCTGCTGATTTGGAAAGGCAGTAGCGATCCGATGACGAGAGAGAATGAGCTGAGAAATGTGGGTTTGCTGTGTGAGATGGAGACATTTCTGGACATCCTATGTTCATTCTGCACAGTGCATTCGCGATGTAATGAATTTGTGTGCATCTGATTCCTATGAGACCCATGTATGTGGGTATGCATGGCATGACTTGGAAATTCCATTTGAGTCAGTCATGGTCTCCCGGAATCAGTCAGCAGCAGAGGGACGGTCAGCAGGTCAGCCTCGCAACGCATATCTTGGTATCATTTGGCTGCGTTTGAAGAAAACAATCGACACAAAGACATCTTTCTCATATACGAAAGGTATAGTGGGTTTTTGGTTGATAAATTCAAAGCTGCGAAAACATGACTAAACAAATCGACATTTTAAAGACGCAAAGCCGGGGAAGAAGCGAATACCTTTACAATGGCGTAAAAGTAAAAGAATTCGGGAATGTGGCACAGCTTAGCTTCCTTGCCATTGTTCCAGATGTCGATTGGGCTGCAGCTGCCGCAGAGAAGCTTGGATTACATATCACATATGAAAGGCGGAGAGCCGAAGCAAATGAGAAAGCAAATCGAAAAAGGATTACGACGGAGCTTTCTGCTTGCTGGTTCGTGGCGCAACCCAACGGTGTTGCAACGGAAGGGCGGCGCTGCCAAAACTCCAATTTCGTGCAGAGACAGGTTAAGAAATGTAGAAAGACGCTCATAAGATGTGATCATAAGCAGGATTTTACGTAAGGATGTTCATCAGTACATCAAAGCTGGACAAAAGTTTAATGGAGGGAGGAACACAATGACAAAACATCTTTCGCCACCGGGACTCGAACCCGGGTCTCGAGAGTGAGAATCTCGTATCCTAACCGCCTAGACTATAGCGAATTGATGGCAATACCGATTAATTTACACTTTATAACTTTAGAAAGCCTGTTCAGTCTGCCGAACCTGCCGTCATACAGTCGTCCTTTTCATCCACATCACATACGACTGTCACCCCACCATGAACATCGCTACCCCCGCCGCCTCACCTCATTCGCAGGTCCATCCAAAGCACTTTGGTTGATAAGCTCCTTCAGCGCAACCTCCACCCCCCGCCACTTGGCCAGCCACACACTGCCAAAACAGCCACGACCCAGCTCCCGAACCTGTCCAAGAACGAGGAGGGAGGGAGGCAGGCAGGAGGCAGGTAGGGAAAACTACAGGCGAAGCAGGAAAGCAGTACACATCAACAAGGTACGGAGTAGTCACAGAAATAAAAGGGGTACGGAGTAGCACACCTTTTACAAGGCAGGAAAACATGTGTGGGTGCGCCAGGCCGTCGATATGGAAGTTCAGTCAATCAATGGGAGTCTATTTCAAACCAGCACCCCTTTGTATAACTTAGTTAAGGTCACAAGCTTAGAATATCGACAATGGGAAAATCTAGGTGTGTGTGTGTGTGTGTGTGTGTGTATGTGAGAGAGAGAGAGAGAGTGTGCCAGTAAATACAGCCACTCTTCCTACACTCGCAGCACAGTCCGTGCTCCGAATTCGTACAGTCTTTCCTGGTCTTTCCTGGTCTTTCCTGGTCTTTCCTGGTCTTTCCTGGTCTTTCCTGGTCTTTCCTGGTCTTTCCTGGTCTTTCCTGGTCTTTCCTGGTCTTTCCTGGTCTTTCCTGGTCTTTCCTGGTCTTTCCTGGTCTTTCCTGGTCTTTCCTGGTCTTTCCTTCCCCACCCACTGCACCACCCCGTACGTACCCTTCTCCCATTACCCCCCCTTGTAGGGAAAATCTCCCGCTTTGTACGTAACTCCCCCCTCTTTGTACGGAAAACCCTCCGATTATTCCGCCTTTGCACCCACCCACCCACTACTCCCACCGTCACCCCCCAAAATCCCTACACACCGCACTCCCTCCTCCTCACCCCACCACAAGCACCGCCTACGTCGGGATCTCACATCCCCTCCCCCTCCGCCACCCACCTTGACGAGATCGTCAGGACCTATCCGCTGCAAGTGCTGCGGGACGTACACCTCGTGTACGGGATCCGCCGGCCGCCACACACCGTCGCTGTCCCACACACCGTGATCCAACGCCGACCCGACGGCCACTCGTATCCCGCCGCCGCCGCCGCCAGCGCCACCGTTCAAGGTTTGCAGCCTGCGGTGCAGCGGCGGCGAAATCGCCGTCGGCGCTGGCGGAGGCGGCGGAGGCGGAGGCGATGCCGCCGCCGCCACTGCCGACCCCGCTGACGTCGATGCCGACGTCGATGCGGCGTGCGCATATACGGAACGAGGCGATGGCGGCGGCCCCGGGGATACTGGTGGTACGGGACTGTGTACGGACGGGTACGACGACAAGCCCTTGCCGCCGCCGCCGCCGCCAGCCCCTATCCCAATCCCCGTCAGTGCCCCCGCCGCTGTAGCTGCCGCCGCCGTACTATCGACACCGCCGCCGCCACCAGATGTTGGTGCAGAGGTTGACGCCGCCGTCGCCGCTGCTGCTGCTGCTGCCGCTGCTGCCGCTGCTGCCGTAACGGACGTTCCAAAGCGTGGGGAACGCGACGTCGGCGACGACGGACCGACGTTATTTAGTTGGTGTTGATTTGAGGTTGTACGGCTTTGAAACTGGTGAAAGGTGGAGGACGTGACGGCGACGGCGGCGCTGATTGCCGTACCAGACGCCTCCGACAGGCGTTGACGCGGTGGCGGGGTTGCCAAGACGCTGCCGTGAGGATTTGTCAACGTCGTGCGATCGAGTCCTGAAGGGAGCGCAAATTATATGAATATAAGAAATATGGTCGAAGTACAGGAGGATGAAAGGAATGGCATGGGGCGTGACCACAGTGGAAAACAGTTTTTGTTAAAATGTCAGGGTACGGCAACAAGAACGTGAATCCGGATCACGTATTTCTACACTTCACACTCCGTATCGCACTTCGCTGCGTTCTTCATCGATCTGAGAGCCAAGATATCTGTTGTTGAGAGTTGTCTTGGTTTCTGAGAGACACAGCTCTAAGCTCATCTCTCACAAAAGCAGGCCAACCCGTCAGGCCTACATCAGCGCACACACTTCCACACACACACATACTCACACTTCCACACACACACACACACACACATACACACACATGCACACACATGCACACACATACACACACATACACATACACACACATACACACACATACACACACATACACACACATACTCACACATACTCACACATACACACGTACATACATACACATACACAAGCATATACATACAGAAAAATAATGAAATTACGAGCACACGGAAGCACGACACCTGCAAAAGGACAATGCCGTACTGACCTGCCGCCGCCACGCCACCGCCGACACCTCGACTGTAAGCCTCCCCCATCTGCCCGCTGGCCCCGCCGCCGCCGCCGCCGCCGCCGCCGTCCACCGTCGCAGTTGCGGAAGGTCCCCTCCCTGGCCCATGACCTTCCCCCACCGAATCATTCGCCCAGCCGCTACCAGCTCCAAAACCACCAACGACTCCACTTCTGGTTCCTCGGGTTGTCCGATACCTTTCTTTAAATGTCAGAGACACGTTCATAGCGGCTTCCAGCTCCGTATTGAGCCGCTGAGCACCCGTTCATCCCGGCGAGAGGGAGAGGGGAACGAATGAATGAATAAATAAATGCATGTACGCCTCTAGGAGGGCGTCGCGTGCAAAGCTACCAAGATGCAGAGTTGTGAAGTGTGCGAGAGATACACAGACAGACAGACAGACAGACAGACAGACAGACAGGCGGGGAAAAGAACTATGCGAGGGGGCGGAGACTTAGGCGGAGATGGACACGAAGACGGACACGAACACACACGTGAACAGCTGCGGAAGTGAAGGCCATGAAACATAATAACATAATAATGCAGAATGCGGATAGAACACCCCCTACACGTGCCGTACAGGTTATCGTACTTACTCTGACGTACGACTCGTCCACCGGGCCGGGTCGTTCTGCATCCTCACATGTGGTGCTGAGAGCGGGACGAAAATCACTGCCCAAAAGCGCATCGATCTCCGAAACCGTACGCCAAGCCTTGACCAAAGAGTCTTCCCGGCCCGCCAACTGCCGTACGTACAGATGTACGGGCGCGTAATTAAAAAAAGGCCGTTTGCGAGCAACGGGCAGGACCAGGTTTGAAAGAGGTTGAAAGAAGCAGCGGATGGGGGTGAGGGTGAGGGTGATGACGATGGCAATGACGATGGCAATGACACGATGACAATGACAATGACGAGGAGAAGGAGGATGATCGGTCGCCTCCGAAACCAGATTCAGATCCAGAGTCCCAGTCATTCCTCTCTTCCAAGCTGCCCGGGCCGCGATGCAGAGCCCCGGCAAAACACACGACCTAGGAAAGGCCACGCTGTCTCACTGGACGCCAAACCCCAAGCGTCAAACCCCAAGCCCTAGAGGCCAAACACTCCGACACGTCATGTGTTTTTAGGTTAATCACGTTGGACTCTCCCTCCCTCCCTCCCTCCCCCACCGCTTCAAGGCGGTTTTTCCGTTGAGAACTCTTCACCCTGTTCCCCGTGTCCTTTAATAGCGTCCAACTTTTGGAAGCGGTCATCGCACGTCCCGTAGTACCAGTTTGTTCCTTAAACCCGTAACCCCGCAAAATAATTTGGCAACCACTAAAAATTCCCATCCCAGTTCCCACACACCCACTTTGACCCATGAAATAGAATCATCATTCACTTATCGCTTCCTTAACCTTGATTCAGAACTCGTCGTATGCAAGTTAACGACCACTCTTCCAACATCTTGGACCCACCATCAATCCCAACTCCGACCCCAAACCAAACGTTCTTGGCATTTTCCCAATCCAGCCACAAAGGAGGAAGGAGACTCATAACTTAAGTTGTATCACAGATTTATCTTCAAGAGGTGATTCCGATTTCCTTAGACCGGGAAGGCGGCCGCCATATGGACCGGGGGGGGGAGGATAAGAGCTTGAGCCGTAAAAGGAGACAAGAGGGGAATACGACGAAAGCGCGACGTTGCATGGCGCCCACCCATCAGTGTCCCACACCAACCCGTTTCCTTGCGCCAATCTCACATCATTAGCTGCCGAGTCGTTGATAATGCTCGTGCGTTTTGAGTGGAAGAACTGGAAGCGGCTCTGCGAGGATAGAAGCGGCGTTGAAGCAACAGTCATGGCTCGCCTAAGAGCATGGGAAGAGGTCTCCAAGTGGCCATAAATGCTCACGTTGTAGGCCACCGGGTGTGAGTCTGGTTCTGTCCTTTCCTGCGCGCGGCTGCCGCTGACAATGCGGTCCAGCGAACTCTCAAACTGCCGAAAGCCTAAGCCATCAGCTCCGATGCCACCACTTAAGCTGGGAAATGCCTCATTTACGCCTGAGGAATGTTTGTTCATCGCAGGCTGCAAGGGTAAACCCGCGGGAGCCCACAACGCAGGTCACTGGTCGCAGCCTCGATGATAGCTACTTTCCGGTAATGTAAAGCTTTGAAAATTTATTTCAAACTGACTAGGTTTAGGATTTTGCACTGCGCTCCAATCGCCATTGATAAAAATAACGCTCTTGTCGACGGCATAACTGAAGTGCCTAAAGGTAGGAAGTTTGGGTAGAACGATCCCCTTACCAATATTCATTTGTGAAGTTAGGTAGTATTAAGCCAGACCCATCAGCAGCTTCTCGTCCGTGTACGGCTTTAGTATTGCTGGAAACGCGTCAGGTGCACCCGTACCAGTCACAAACGTAAAACATAACAGTAAAATTAAGTTTGTGTGAGATACAATGCCTTAAAGGGGAAGCCCACCATCCACGTAGCAACATATCTATCGTACATGCCGGCGGACCTCCAGAATCACCGAAAAGACTCAGACGCTTAGGAGAACTGTTAAATCTCTCTATTGGTATTATTTATTATATTGATTTACGTATATCTCTGAAATGCTTGTTTCGCGGAAGTGGGCGTAGCAGCTGGCCCATGCCCCCTGAGGGCTCTTACGAGCGACGACTAGCGAAAAGCTATAAAAATTACCTGTGAATCTGATTTGCGCTTGTCTTTAGAAGAAATTATGCAACCTTGGGTATGGGCGTTGTACGCCTGTTGTTTGGTCGGCTTCCGCGCATGTTCCCTATCCTTCATGTACACATCCACTCACAGGGCTTCCTGGCCACACAGCTACACACATCTAACGAAGTACCTTGCACTCCAAAAATCTCCAGTAGCAATCCTCGCCCTGTAACTCAGGTATTTGCGGCGTAACACACCATTTTAAAATTGTACTAGCTGTACGGCGGCACATTACTGTGATTGCACGCACTCTCCATAACGTACGCCGGACAATACATCCCACGCGAGTGAGATTTCCAAGGTCCCTTATCCGGCTATCGCATTTTCAGGTGGTCTCTTCCTGCCTCTTCTTAAGGTTTACTTGCGGGATTAGTTAGATGTCCCGGATCTCAGCGTATTTGTCGGTTGTGTAAATGCGGTGTTGAAGAAGAAAAGCATGTTCTGTTAGAGTGCCGTGCTGCTTGTGAAAAGTTTGAGATTGGCAGTTTTTTTGGTTTTTTCAGTTCGATGCCTGCATCTGGCATGGCATGGCATGGCATAACATGCTGGTCGTAATGCGTGATAACGACCAAAACCCCGTGTGCCGGCAGAATTCCAACATTCGAACACTCAGTGTATTAGGCGCGGGCATTCCATCTTAAAAAGTCCGCTCATGCCCTCTTTTGGCTGTGCAGGTTTCCGAGTTAGTTAGTTCGTTAGTTAGTAGTGACTGTCCTTGTGTTGCCGTATCTGTTTTCCTTCCGTTGGTTTACCTCCTCCTCCTTTACCTCGCGTGTGTTATGTAATGTAATGTGATGTAATGTTGTTACAGAGTGGGAGGCTTCTGGGCCATTTGAACATATTGTCATTTCTACGATTTATCATACTATGCAGCACCATCCACCATTACCACACTGTACTACACTGCCGTACGAACTGCTAGTCCTCAAGGCGGTTGATTCTGCCTTCTAGGATCCCTCCTCATCCTCTCACCCGAACAACCGAAGAGGTAGAGGGCTTAGCAGTCGCCCACCAATCCAGCAGTGCGAATCTCGGTCCATAAACCTCAACTCCACAGCTGCTTTTACAAACAGCGGATGCAACATACACACATACACACATACACACATACGCACATACACACATACACTCATACATACACACATACACACATACACACACACGCACACACATTTCCATCACCAGGTAACACACCGCCATCCTTTCATCACCATCTCTTCCATCAGTCCTTTACACCAACTCCAACAACGTGCAACATCCCCCCCCACCCATACCTTCTCTCTCTCCCTCCCTCTTAAAACCCTAAAACTCCCGCTATTGCCGCGTACGTCTCATCAAAACCCACTCACCGGGGGTCTAAGGAAGCGCGCGTATGCGCTCTGTCAGAAAGCTAGCTACAGTACTACACAAGCTGGCTCCTGTCACACACACACACATATATACGGGGTCGG